TCTAAGGTCAACATTTCAAAGTCAAAGCTCAAAATGGTTTGATATTAACTGTTGGAGGGGGGGAGGATATTTGAGCACGATGACAGCTGTCAACAATAGTTTACTTTTTATTGTAGCATTAAAAATGAAAACAAATATTTCACACTTTAGTCATTGTTCCCACCTGATAGCCTTTGCTGGCCAAATACTTGGTGACCTCTCACAATAAAGCCGTTTGACCTTGAGACGTGATACTTGGTAAAATTTTACATCTCTAGCACCAAAATCCGGCATAAAAAGTGGAAGAGGTCAGATCAAAACATTTTTCTGCAGTGATTGATTTGACATGGACTGACCCTATACGAATATCAGTTGTATAACTGTTGCAGAGCATCAGAGCATAATGTAGTAAAAGCTTTGAAAATGTGTGGCAGTACCATTGATCGTAGTAACCCCTTACTTTTTAAAATGTTAATTCTGTCAAATGTTGAACTTGTAATATCCCTTGATATGGAGCATCTCGTTTACAAGGCTTTCCTGCTTGTCAACTGACATGTCCTATTTAATACTCTCTGTTTTTTTCGGTAAAGTCACGTAGATAGAAAAAATTACGAAAGAAAACACGACGTTTCGGTCGCAACACAAGCATCCGTCTTCAGGTAATGCGTCCGTCTTCACCTGAAGACGGACGCTTGTGTTGCGACCGAAACGTCGTGTTTTCTTTGGTTATTTTTTCTATCTACGTGACTTGTCCGAAAGAACCAGAGAGTGGATTCCTGCAGTCACGAAAGCTTCAAATCAAGACAATGTCTTATTTAAACCCATCAGTGTCCTCTCATGTATATTTTATTTTGTACCAAACGGGCTGTGTATTCCCGCCATAACAGCGAAATGGTACTATCATAGCAGCCTATGAACGCAACATTTTATTTATTACCAGGCGAGAGCCCATGGAGACAAAATGCTTTCACAAAGCGGGACAGGTATTCATATTCTTGGTTCTTTCGGTAAAGTCACGTAGAAGGGAAACAACAGGTATGTGATGTGATGTGCGTGCGTGTGCGTGCATGTGCTTTGTCTCCACAGGGAAGCGACTCCTGAGAGGTCGGGCTGATCCTGTACCTGCCGACAGCCACACAGCGCGTCCTTACGGGGGAATGAGTTAAACTGGCCAGGGATGGGCAGGCGATATCCCGCAAACGCAGTAGCACAGCCCGGCGCCTCCCGTAAGCAAAACGCATCGCCAAGCACACACCTCGACGGGTCGGGCGTAACGTGCATTAAGCGGACGAGTGAGTGAACGCAGGGGTGACTTGTCTCGGGCGAGGGCCAGGTTTGGCACATCTGTCTTGTTTAGCGCCACCTCGGCATGAACAAAATTGCTAAATTATGAATAGATAAAAATATAGAGCCAGCTGTGTTCTCGTAAAACAGCTGTACGTAAGGTACAGGAATAACTTTAAATGCATTGTTCGACTCCATTTATTTTCAATCCATTCCCTTGAATTTGTATCGCTTCTCTGGGAAGCAAATGGTACGTGAATATTAGCTGTTTTCATACATTTATTACATTTCCATATTTTCTCGGTTTTTTTGAGTGAGTGTTTTTACTGCAGGGCAATAACTTGCATGCTTCAATTTCAATTGCTTGCCACATGTTATTTTTGCTTTCTTCAATTGCCTGCCCCCCCCCCCCCATCCATTTCCATGCTGTGCCTGTGGTCCGCAATTTTTGTTGAGTTTTAATTTGTGGTTTCATCCTTTGGGTTGATTTCGTCTTCTTACAGATTGTCCTTAAGCCTTACCCAGAGATTATCTGCACAGCTCCTCACAGCTTCCCCATCCCCCCTACCTCAGGTTTGCATGTAAGACATTTATGTTCATGTTTTTAACGATTTTTAGGATTTGTTTTCGTATTTCTGTTTAACTTTTTGAGTTCGCCCATGGCTAATGCGAAGTACGCATTAATATTTAGTGGTTTTCTCTAACATTTGAGATGCCATTGTCAATCGCATGTTGAAGTAATGAGTATATTGTTCTTATTGAGATTTTATTTTCATTAAAAACAACGTGAATCATTACGTCCGTTCAACAGATGAGTGCACGCTTGTTTTGAAGTACCACATACCAGCACCATCACACACATTCTGAGACTTCCATCCCATGGGCATCAAGGTGCCATACCCTGATTTTCCAGGAGAGGGCAGTACAGCAAAGTGCAGACAAATCTCCATCTGTCCCTTCTGTATGGGATGTAGTGTTTCTCCCTCGCACATGTGGGCTTTTTCTGGTTGCTCCGGTTTCCTCTCACGTGTATAAACACTCATTAATTGGGCAATTGATGGTGCCGGCTCGCCCACCTGGCTGTTAATAAATAATGTCTTTTTTTCATTTAGGACACAACACAAAGCCCTTTAACTGACTCATTCATTCATATATATGTGCGCACACATGCAGAATGTGCCTGGAATATACATGACACCGCAGGGAGAACGTTCCTATCGCTGCTTGTGTTTCAATTGCAGTCGATTCCACTTTCGGAGCGATGCCGGCCACGATCGGGCAGGCCATTGGGCCACTGGAAGCGGCGAGCGGCCAGGCCGGCCCAGCCCAGCCGCCGTCATCCCTGCGGCTGCGCACGTCACACAACGAGCTACTCAACGCCGACATGCGGCGCTCCGACGGCAGCGGCACCACCCCACCCAAGAGTCGCAAGGCGTACGCCGCCACCAGCCTGCAGTCCGCCATGGGCCTGCAGTCCGCCATGGGCCCGCCATCCTCCACGGGCCTCGGGGGCGGGGCGGAGGGCGACGACGCCGAGGGCCGGGGCTCCGCGCTCGCTGTGCCGGTCGGCGGCGGGCTCGCGCGCCGGCACAGCGAGAGCGCCGCCCTCGGAGCCGGCGGCGCGGACGTGCACAACGCCAACGCGAAGCTGCTGAAGAACGGAGAGAACCGACTGCGCAAGGCGGCCGAGCTCGGCCAGGGTACGCAGCCGCCGGCGCACGACGCGGGCCGCGACGGCCCACCCCGCGACGGCGACGCGAATGCCGAACTTAACCGCGGCTACGAGCAGCTTGGCGGCCAGGCTCCCGCCGCACGAGACCCCAACCGCAACGACAACTGTCCGGGCAACATCAATGGTAACGTCGGGCTGGAGAAAGCGGAGGGCAAGGAGACCAGCGATGGACAGGAGGACGAGGCGCCCGCCACTGTCTCCACATCGCAGATGAAAAAGAATAAAAGCTTCCTCGGCTACTACGCAGACCTCGAGTCTGCCTTCACCGGCAAGGGAACCCTGCTGCTAAACGGAGACTTGAGCGGCAAGACCGAAGGCCCGCGCGACAGCACCACGGCCCGCGCGGACTCTTCCCCCTCGGCGTCCGAGTCGCCGAGCTCGGCGACGGAGCGCCCCAAGGCAGCGGCGGACGCGCTGTCGGAGCTGCAGGCGCCGGCGAGCGAGGCAGAGCAGGGGGACGAGGACGGGGGCAGGGCATTGCGCGGGCGCATGTTCTTTGGGATGAGGAACACGGCGATGAGCGACGAGGACTCGAGCTGGACCACGCTGTCGCAGGAGAGCGCCTCGTACACCTCGCCCGAGGACTCTGGTCAGTGTGTGGGGGGCGGTGGGCGTCGCGAGTTATCGCGCGTGACCACGGGGTTCTCGGGATTCATTCAGTGGCAATCGACGAGGTTTAGAGAGCCAAATGAAGTTACCCTCGCACATGAAATAGACATGAAGTTAACTCTCAATTACCCACGGTGGGAATTATTGGAGCTTGCGAGCATGTTGATTAAATATTTTAACAGTCTCACTGGTTCTATGTTGAGCTGCCCCTCACTAGTCGCGGGTCACAAACGCGGTGTCTGTGGGGCCATAAACATGTTAGCAAGTAAACTGATTCCTTTAAGATAAAAGCCATATTCTATGTTATTGCCCTCATATAAAACAAGTACATTTACATTATCCTTGTATTTGTTTTACCTGGGCCACCCCCCTCCCCCCATTGAACATTGATGGTTGGTGAAATACATTCTAAAAGCATATAGATTTCAAAGTAAAGGAGGTGGCTCTGAGAATTAATATGATTATTTACAACATGTTTACTTTTACGGTGGTGACTCTAACATACCGGTGTCATTTTATTTGCTTTTTTACTTCAAATTTCACCTTTGATGAATACAGCTATAAAGTTGTGTTTTTTTTGTTTAACTTACCCACTCCTTTTATCTTCGGCTTTTAACTTTCTCCAGGAGCATGATTGTAGTCGGGCATTTGCGACCGACATGTAATGCCGGGCCTGCCGCTCCACACCGCACGGCCCACCTGTACGATGAGATGCTATCACTGGGGTTGTTTTTAAGCACGCGGCGCCGTGCAGATTGCCGCTGCAGATTTGCAACGACCTGATTGGTAGACCGTCTTTTCAGGGAGCAGGCGGCATGGGCATACAAACACATGTATGTGCGCACACAGATACAAAGATAAAGATCCCCCGTGTTGTCATTATACAGGCTTTTTGGGCAAGTGCTGTTAGCGAGCACCATGGCGCACGAATGGGATGTGTGACGCGATGTGGTGGCGTGTCCAGCACCATGCCTCGCCGCCTGCGTCTCCCCATCTTCACGCACCAAACCTACCTGATAAATTAGTGCTGAGTTGACAGGTTAAGATCACGCGCCACTGATGTTGGCCACAGCCAAGTATCAATCTTATGTTGTTGGATTCTTAGCGCAGTGCGCTAACCACCACCCCACCACTCCACTCACACAATTACGTGCACGCACAAAGACAATGATGTCCCGTATAGCCTTAACAGACTGGTGGGGCAAATGCTGTTAGAAAGCACCTATGAAGGCCAGAACAGCACACGAGGGGGTGGGTGGCCAGCACCACGCCCAGCCGCCTTTGTCTCCCTAGTGGCGATGTTTTCACGCACTGTACCAGGTACTCATTTGAGGCTGAGTCGACCTAGGCCAGGTCCAGGACCGGTTCAGGTAATCGTCACTTGGCCGTGACTTGAAATCGAACTCGGGTCGTCAGGTTCGTAGCGCAGCGCGCTAACCGCTACACTACGCTCGCACGTACGCACACACACACATGCACATCGAGAGCCATGAACTGTCGTGGGTGGCCTGTCTGTGGATCCACCTGCGTTAAAAAAAAATGTAGGAAGAAAAGCAGTAATCCCAAGTTAAGAATCTTGACATTTCGCTCGTGTAATCATTAATTGCTCATTGGCGTGTTTATTTGCCGGGGAGTAGGACCGTTTTGTACTGGGTGATTTTTACATTCCCCAACCGGTGCGCTGCCTGTGCAGTCTTGTTACCCTTCGACCATACTCACGGCATGGCTTGTGGGGCTTTGCAGCACAGTCTCCTGTGTTAATACCAGCTGTCATCGAATGTCATATTCCGTGATTGTGGGTAAGACAGATAGAGTGAACTGAAATGATTTTTTTGGCGATCGTAACGACGGTCGGGGGAGGAAGGTTTAGCTTTCGGATTGAATCAACGAAACGGTCACAGTAAATTCCCCACACGCTTTTGCTCAAAGACATTGCTGCTGAGTAATTTCCCACACGTACCTGTTTTGGCCCTTTCAGCAGAAACCGCTGAAAGTGACATCCGTTCGCCCCGAGCAAGCGGGTGACTATACCTGCAGGAGAGATGCCACGCTTAGACGACAAAAGCTTGGCACAGAATTAGGGGGGAGGTTGTTATTCCTGACCTGGAGGGTAACGGACAAATGGCACGCGTGCCGCACTGTCCAGCATTCACGCCCCATTAAAGCTGTCAATTTTCACACTGAAGAAATGCATCATCGGAGTATTTTTCAACTGCGAAGCAGCGCACTACTCTTTGCCTTTTCCAGTGCTCTCAAGTGTGGCCAGGATTTTTGTTTGGTTAAATTGAGCCTAGATTATTGGCATTCACGTCGGAAAAGGACCTAATTTAGCAAAGTGGGTTGAAGCCACTGGATTTCGTTGACACAATGGGCGATGCGTGATACGTGCAGATCTATGTTGCACGCGCCAGCAGTGCCTCACTAACGAGCGCATCAAGCTGAGTGGTGGTGGTGGTGGTAGCGTGCCTAATGGATATTAAGCAGAGCTCAAATGGCTCGTGGTGGTTTACAGCTGCTGAACTTAGGGACGCAGTGTCATACCTGAGAGATTTTCATCTGTGATGGAAATGCACGGGCTCCCGACAGCTTTACATTACATTTGCAGCAGGCCACAGCTCTTGAACGGTGTCCCAAAGTACAAAACTGCAAATCACTCGCGTGAAGATTGCCCTCACGCCAAAGTAAGAGGATATGGGAAGGTCGAAGAGCAGTGTATACGCAGATGTTGATGTTTAATATTCCGTCCAATAACCAAGCAAGTCACCGTTCCCACGAAAAATATCTCTGCGTCACCCGTTTTTAACGGCCGAAGGATGCAATTTTGTTTTGGCGAACCGCAGCGGTGGGAAGGCACTGTGATTAGCGCTTTTGCCGCACAGTTTGATGAACAGCCTTCGCTGTCAGGTGGAATTGGCTTAATCGGGGGTGCGGGGTTATTCGATGAGCTAAATGCCGTAGTGTGCCGCAGTCACGGCCGTCAGACACGCAGCACGACGCATCGACCTGGCAGTGCCTGGTGCTCGTGCGCAGCCTCCTCCCCGCCCTCACGGTGTCCGGGTGGGAGCCGTGAATCTCCAGCGGGAAGGTAAAATGGCGCCGCCCGTCGCCGCCACCACCACCCCGCTGTAAAAGGCAAACTGCTGCGGAGAGCGGGCGAGCTCTTGGGGGGCGAGTCTGCGTGGCATCGGATCGTGGCCTGGTGCGTGGCAGCATCTGCGCTGGCAATCATGTACGGCAAGGACTTCATCCTGGCCGTCATCATTTTAGACAAAGAAGGTACGAGTGTCGTTGCCATAGAATTCGGTGCCTTGTTTCACCATTAATGTTTCTTTCCATTTGCGCTCGGATTTTTTTTCTTTTACGTTTCCATAGAAACAACTGTCTGGCATTTCATAGTTTTTAATAAGATTTGGCAATTAAATGTGTTCCTAAGTGAGTAATCCAGTACATGGCAAGTGGGCATTTGCACCCAGGGATGAAAATAACATGTAATACAGGTTTTTTTTCTTATTGCAAATCTGATAGATTTATCTTTAAAACTTACTGAGCATATCTTCATAGAGCTGCAGTGATGTGTCCAGTAGGTATGTTTGTGGAAAATAAATGTTTAAAACTTATGAAACTGAGATTACTCACTCTGAAGTGACCTTTTATTTTACACTAATATTGCATGTAATTTTGTGTTTTTTGTAAAAAATATATATATTTACGTATGTAATTTACATTCACAAAATAAAAGTATATGAGTGCTGTATAGATTTGTGGCGAGTGTGCTTGCCATTGAGCAAGTTTGGGTCCCCCAACTGTTCTCTAATCACGACAGGCAATCACGACAGGCAATCACTACAGGCAATTACAAAAGCACACCATCAGTTGTAACGTGGACATTTAAAGATCTTGCGTCATCAATCGTGGAAGTGTGCCACTTTTTCTCGCCGACATATCTCAAATCATATATTTAAAAATAAATTCACCCCGGTTACATTTTAATAATTTAATTTTGGCCCTGCGTAATTACGGTTGCACATGGTCTTTCTTCGAATGTTGATAATAAATATCAAGGTTCCGGGCTGGTTAAATACATGACATTGATTTATCTATTTATTTATTTAATACATTGTAGAGTTATTGGTTAATCTTCAATATAAATAAATGTATTGGTTCGTTGTCATGCCGTAAATGATGACTCAAGTGTGTTTGTGTGGCATTTGTCGTCATTGCTGCAAGTTTCTGCCAATTACTGCCATGGTTTTCCGTCTACAGAGAATGTTCTACAGTATTTATAATGCACCTCACTGGTGCGGAGAACGGCGCTGTAAAAATAGATGGGGAGTTGGCGGCATTTCCTTCCTGTCATGCCCGCCTGCTGGGACATGACTAAATAAAGGTGCTGGCGTGGGAGTGCCGGTTTGTTCATTTTTTTTGCACAGCCGTGGATGCAAACCTCCTCCTCGCGAGTCAACGTTTTGGCCAATAAGCCTTACCCCCCAGGACAGACGCCAACTCGCGGGGAATTAAGACGTTTCGCATACTCGCCATTCCACCCAGATTCAAAACCACAGTCTAATTCTAGGGGAATTCCAGCAATCCCGCAGGAACAAGCGAAATGTTTTCGTCCAGGCGAATTGTGTAATGAACCCTGTCGACTTGAGTTTGATTTCAGGCCACGGCTAGTATCACTGACGAGTGAGAGCTGAACCAGTCCGGGTCTCGCTCCCCTTTACCAACCCGCACTCGCCAGCACGGTGAACTATGTTCAAACATCCCCCACGATTGGCGCGGAATGGGGGCACCTTCATCTAGCAATAGGTTGACAAAGGGCTGTAAACAATCGAAGACAGATACGAGTCAGATTGATACTAGTGTGGGTTGTGCGGAAATGGTGGCTGTGATGGCATTCCGGATAACAATGTGGAGGCACCCTGCATAGCGACGATGTTGTAATTTTGATGTGGCGTAATTTGTGAGTCTTGCAAATCTTTCTTTCCGGCTACTGGATAGTATCGACGTATTCTGCCACTACTCCCCTATCCAGTCCCATCAGCCACAAAGACTTGATAGTAAGCATCATGGCTGTAATAATTGGCTCTTTTAGTGTACAGATTAATCAGTCATTCCACATTGTTAACTGATTTAATTAACAATAAAAATCGGCGTATAACAGGGGAAAGTCAGTACCAGTGGTTTGACGATAACATCGGACGAAATTAAATGTTAAAATCTGCACTGTAATTCAACGATGTTGATTAAATGTATAGTGAACCAAAATTCATCGCAAACAGGCAGAAACGCTGGATTGTGGATTGGTTAAAGAGTGCCCCCTAGGAAGCAGCCGAGGAAGGTGCTGGTGCAGAGCTCCTCAATGACGGGCAGTCGTTAAGTCCTCCTTCAGGGAGGAATTCATCTGCGCGGGGACCTGCCTGCTCTTGAAATGGCCCTGCCCGTGTGTTGTTCCCCGGGAAAGGACATGTGCCATTACATATTTATGGGCCAAGCACATATTTATGGCCTAAGTGCTGTAATGAGTTCGTTATCACGCGGTGAACAGATCCTCTCTCACTGTTTTGGCGTTCGACCAGTGTGCCCGCCAGCGTGTGGGGTTAATTTATGAGTGCCTTTGCCGTGATTGCCTTTTTTGTTGTTCCTCTGCGCCTTTTCTCCTTCAACACCCCCATGATACCTGAATACCCCCCCCCCCCACAGCACGAATGTTCATTTCTGACTGTGCGCACACACAGTGGGTATATGTAGCAGCATCAACATTGCGTTGAAGAGGATGGCAGTAGAGGATGCATGTACACTGGCCATCAAAAATGGAACTCAGACCTCCGCCACACTTGTCGAGGAGTTGGTATTGATATTCAATGTCTTTTTACACAAGTTTTTCCAGTGGTGGTTAGGCTGAAGGGCTGCATGTGTGCACATTAGATGCTTTGGTGCAACTACACAAATTATTATTTTTGTTCATCTGGTATAATGGGGTTGTGCTCAGTCCAGAGGTCGCCAGTTCGATCTTGTTGCACGTGGCAAACAGATCCTTTTGGCAGTATGAGTACACCACAGTCAATCGGCAGGTCACGTGTGTCGGGGTGAAATGTGGGTACCCCCACCTATTCCAACTTGTCTGGCCGGCATGGAACAGGAGGCAACAAAATACCCTCTGGAGCGGGTCTCTAGAGCTCCGTCTGTAAGGCGGAGGTCCTTCTGCGAGCAATTGCAGGGCTGCAACCTTTTACCCTTCACCTTGCGATAGAGATCAAAGTGGAGTCGTAATCGCGCCGCTTTGCTCCGCGTGGTTTGAAAGCAGATGGGCTGTGGACGGATCCGTCGTTCGGCTCAGACCCGGACCTCCCTCCGGGCTGGAAGAAGGTGTGCGACTCGTCAGGGACCTACTACTGGCACATCCCGACGGGCACCACGCAGTGGGAGGCGCCGGGGGGCACGGCTCGCTCCGAGGGTGACGGCGAGATCGCCTCGCCGGGCACTTGCACCGAGAAGGACATCTGCTCCGTGGAGTCGTCCGCCGTCAGCACACCGGCCGACTCGCCAACTCAGGAGAAGGAGGTGAGGGCCCGCCACGGGGGTGGATGGACATCAGCAGAGGCACGACGGAAATTTCTTACCCCCTTTATTGTCGACGTCCATGTAATGGGTGCCACGGTGGCAAAATGTTATCTACCTCGCCTGGTATATAGGAGGTTGTGGGTTCGATCCCGACACTGAAACCTGTATATTTGGTGTTTGCGTCTCTCTCTCCCCATGGTCACGTGGATTTTTCTCTGGGTCCTCCAGTTTTTTCCGTCCACATGTAGAATCAACATCACTGCTATAAATTTATTTGGGATAAGCCACATCGTTGAGCTATAATTTATGGACAACTCACTTCTGAAATATAGCTGTGGTGCTCAGTGGGCCTTACCTGGTAAAATAAATAGTTTCGTTTAATCCTTCATTCGAGCATAATATCACCAAGTGCAGAGATGAGCTGTTCTCCATCAGTGTCGGTGCACTTGTAGGGTACCATCATCAGCCAAGTTTAGTCCAATATTGGTTGAAGGCTTCCACCAAGCTGCTACCGTCCCTCACGGCTCTGCGATGTAGCGATCCACCCGGCACCTGCATATGAGTTGGCTTCATGTTATCCCCTTTATACATACGTCTATTTCGGATCGTTTGTAGGTGTTGTTCGTCCCGCAGCCTGCATGTGCTGGTTTAAAGACGTAATTTTGACTGGAGAAAAAAAACAAGTGGGTTCCGAAAGGATGCGTCTTTCGAAGGGATGATGGCCAGTGGTAGAGGCTGATGATGGAATGGCAGCCAAAGGAGGCCCACCGAAGCAATGGAGCGATTAAATCAGCTCGTGTGGATGAGTAAACTGGATTGTTACATCCTGGAACTGTTAAAGATGGAGATGCCCTGTTAAGGGCCTTCATCCAGCAGTGGATAGATGATGATGGTGGTGAACATACAAGTATAATTTACAGCGCATATTAAAAAAATACAGTTGGTCCAGTAGATGCAGCACCTAAGTTGTTATGGTCACATAATTTGTAAGCCGTGTGCCCGTGTGTGTAATGTTTAATTACACCAAATAAATAACGGCCTTGATTTAGAATTGCACCACAAATATGACAGGAGATTAAATGCTCACAATTAAAAAGAACCACTTAAAAACCACAACACAAATAACAAAGCCTGGAGGTGTTTGGACAGGTTTTTACGGAGCTTACGATTATTTGGCACTGTGCATTATCCAGTGTGGCCACTGAATAGTTCCTCCCACAAATACCTGAAGAATTGCTCCTTTTCCAGCATAAGTGGTACATCTTTTGAGGTTAATAAACTCGATGCGAAATACCTTGACAGCTCTGCAGCGGTGGAATTCCCTGCCTCTGGATTGAGTGCCCATTCTTTAGTCAAAAGTGCGCTTGGATGGAAATATTGTTTGTGCCGCTTTTCCATGTGGGAGCAATGTGCCGGGGCGGCACTGTGCTAATCGATTTGCATATAGAGGCCTCATTAAAAAAGAGCCATAGCTGTACTAGAATCCCCACAACTAATTCCGAAGGGTTTAGTGCGTCAATCTAAAAGTCATAAACGCTATTCATAAATGCACGGGCAATTGTTTGGTGCGGTGTGGCGCGCAACCATAACTGTGTGCTTTCCCTCCGTCTTACTTTTGTGTCTCCCTTCCTTGTCCTTTGCAGCCTGTGTCTGCCATCTCTGTCTCTGGCCTTTGTAGAAAAATTGACTTTAATGAATGGAAGGCAAGTGTTCTCCCTGTACCCACAACCAAAACGAGCCCCGGCTCCTTCCACAAATGTCACATTTTCAATCGGACCTTGTGCTGCGCATGTCGTGCGTGTGTGCGTGTGTGCGCGTGTGTGTGTGTGCGTGTGTGTGTGTGCGCGCGAGAGAGAGAATGGTACGTTTTCTCTTCGATGTTTTTGCATTGCTTTGCTTTGTTTGTTAAAAGCATGCTTTTTTTGTCAGTGTACTGAATTTTGTTTTAAAGTAACAACTATTAAACAAAGTAACCTTCATAAGCACGATGTTTGTACCAATAATTTTTTGGCGTCGGTACGTTTGATGTGACATAAATTCATTACATTTGAAAGGCCGTTAAAGGTTACACTCTGTAAAAAGACAAAAAGAGAGGGGATTAGCTGTGGGTGTTTTTGAGCCGGAAACTCTGTCAATTGACTTTCTCGCTCATCCCCGCATTTCTTTAGGAGATTCAGGCTGCTACTGTGACCCCTGACCCAAGCCTCAAAGAGTTTGAAGGAGCCACTCTGCGCTACGCTTCCCTCAAGCTTGGGTGGGTATCGCTCTCTCACACTGGCGGGGACACTACTGACCTCCGGAGCCACTTTGTTTGTGCCTTAGACATTAATTCCTGGGGACTCTGTTTGAGTTCATGCAATGAGCACATGGGGGAAAGGAGGCATTTGGCCAAGTGCCATCCAATTAGAAATGAGCCATTCCGTGCATTAATGTTCCCTCGAGCCTATGACAGTGGAGTGCAGTGACAGCTTGCAGTGTTTGTAGTGTTCCTTAAAAATAACAAAACACCAAACACATGAGTTAATAATGCTGCATTAAAAAGGAAATACATAACAAGCAACGTTTTGAGTAATGACCCATTTTCATAGAACATGAATGAGATTCATAGTCTGAAACGTCACCTATTATATCATTTTTTTTACTTTTAAACCACTGTTATTGACATATGTTTACATTTTGTTTTCTAATTTGTGCTCGTGCACCAACGCAGCATCACCAAATTTCCTTCAAAAATAGATTGCGGAGGCTTCATGCCAAATCACAATACTGTGTGCCCGCGTTTTTTACCAAGGCAAGTTGTTTAAATCTGTCGTGACACTTGTGAAACACTGCAGTATTGCAATGTGCACATTGGGTTGAAGATTTTTACCACCAGCCATCACAGCCATAGACACAATTAAATCATTTAACACCATTGGTTGAACAAAAAAATATTCGTCTCTTCCTTCTCCGCACCTCTGATTAGCACAGTTTGCTACGTATGGTTCGAAAGAAGTTCAACATACATACATAAGTTATGGCGAAAAAAAACACGTAACTTTTGATCTGCAAGGGTCACCTGCAATATGGTTCTTGACAGAATTTGTCTGTTTCAAAAACCCACGGTTCACGAGCCGATGGGACGTCTGCAATCGGCCAGCAAATCCTTGATTGTGTTTCCGCCAACCAGAACCATAATGGCTTCCAGACCAATTCGAGTCACCTCTCCATCGGTCTTGAATGCTCTGCTAGATGACCTTTGCTTTGTCCCATTTCAAAAAATATTCCAAAAACATTACAAAATATATAATTGTTTCACGTAGCTTTTAGGACTCGGACCAAAAGTCACCGGCTCCTCTACACTCAAGCGTCACCACTGGCCTAAGCCTCGTGACGTTGTCTCTGAACTATGGGGCTGGACAAATAAATGTGATTGTTATTGTTTTTAATATAATTATTTTTGTTATTTTATCCTGGAACTGAGTTGCACTGACACTCGAGGAGTGGCGCAGAGTTCCGGGAGCTTTATTCATAGGAATCCTCAATGCAAATACTGGTGACTTATACTGATGTGCCACGAGCAGCGTGGTGGACTTTGTGCTATGCATTCGCATGCAAAGCTGTCTTTGGCCTATCCAACGGTTATCTGGTTGTGTGGACATATGAGCTTAGCAATAGATGTACTTTATGTTAGTCACGTAGAAGGGAAACTATACAATAATACAAATATAAAACAAAAAAATTATCACGACGTTTCGACTGCAACACAAGCAATCATCATCAGGTGTGAAAACCACAGCAAGAAAATTTGAAAAAAGTGGCGGTTTTTTTAACGTTAGCACCACGGAGAGCGATTTGGCAGTTATTCAGATGGACGAGTCCATCTATGTTCGGAAAAGAGGAGGGGGGAGACGAAAATAATGGATGCGGTCTGAAAGCCACCGTAAGCGTGAACAATCAATTAAGACCCGAAATGGTTGATCAAATCCTTCCAATGATTGCTAAGCCAGAATCCATCTTCTCGGTTGAAATTGTCTCTGTGTTTGTATATGTGGATAGCCTCATGAACGAATCTCTCATGGTAGCCAGATGGCTTGCAGAGAACCTCTGTCTTGGAGAAGTCAATGTCATGTGAGCCTACTGAATTATAACAGTGATCTGCCACGACCGAGGTGTTGGTCCTACCGTGTTTTAGGTCTGCTTTGTGTTCACGGATGCGGTCTGAGACATGCCGTTTGGTTTCTCCAATGTAACTACTACCACAGAGGCAACTTAGTTTGTAGACGCCAGGGTACTGTATGTCCAGAATCACATCTTTTTACAGACGGAACCAGATCACGGATTTCATGTAATGTGTTGAATCGGACCTGGATCTTGTGTTTATTCAAGATTTTGGAGATCTTTTTTGTGATCCCCGCAATGTAGGGTAAAGTGATGGTTTTGAATGGCTTTGCGGATTGTGTAGTCGGAGTAACCATTAGCCTTAACAGCTTGGTGTACGTGCTTGAGTTCACTGGCTATGTGTTCCTGGTTGGATATGCATTGGGCTGTATGGTGCAGAGTCTTGATGAGGGAATTCTTCTGGGATGGATGGTGGTGGGAAGCCGGTTTCAGGTAAGCATCCGTATGGGTAGCTTTCCTGTAGACAGAGTGGCTCATTGAACCATCAGGTCTCTTTTTTATTAGGACATCCAAAAAAGGTAGCTTGCCATCTTTTTCGACTTCCATGGTAAATCTGATGGCGGGGTGTATGGAATTTATGTGGTCGAGGAATTGGTCTAGAGCAGGCCGGCCATGTGGCCAGATGACAGAAGTGTCATCCACGTACCTCTTCCATAAGTTTGGGCACAGAGTGGCAGTGTGGATGGCGTCAGTCTCAAATTTCTCCATGAAAATGTTGGCTACAACTGGAGATAGGGGGAACCCATTGGAGTGCCCTCAGTTTGTTTGTAGAGAGTTCCATTCCAAGTGAAGTATGTATTGGTTAAGCAGTGTCTCACCAGGGGGGGTACCTCAGTGTTTAGTCCTTGATGAACCAAGTCTTCAATGATTGCGATGGTATCAGGTTCAGGAACTTTGGTGAATAAGGAAACTACATCAAAACTGACAAGCAGGTCGTCTGGGGACAGGGAAATACCCTTGATTGTCGTTACCAGGTGAGTAGAATTTTGTACCGCAGAGGTGTTTTTTTCAGTGAAAGGCCGCAGGATTTCATACAGAAAACGAGCCAGTTTGTAGGTGGGGGAGTTGATAGTAGAGACGATGGGACGAAGGGGTGTATCTTCTTTATGTATTTTTGGTAAGCCGTATAATCTTGGTGGCCTGGCAGCAGAAGGTTTCAACGAGAACTGTTTGGTTTGATCAATTAATGCGGTTGAATCAGAAATGATTTTGTTGGTTTGTATGACGAGGCTGTTGGTGGGATCTCTTTTTATTTTTGTATAGCTGCTATCGTTGAGTAATTCTTGAATTTTGTTGTTATATTCTATTTTATCCATGATGACAGTGGCATTGCCCTTGTCGGCTGAGAGGATGACAATGTCATCCCTCTTTTTTAATTTATATAATTCAAAACGCTCATCTTTGCTGAGGTTGCTAGCTGGCATCTTAGCGTTTTTGAGGGTTGCAGCGATTTCAGATTTACTACGTCTGCAGCGATGTGACCCAGGCCCTTGAGAGCCACGTCTACTTGGGCAATGATATCATTAACTGGTATGTGTTTAGGTGTGACTGCAAAGTTTAGCCCTTTAGCTATAACGGATTTCAGACCATCGGAAATAGAATTGTTACTGCGATTAATTACGACTTTGTTAACGTCTAGCTTTTTTGGTGTGTGGGTCCGGTCTTTTGTTGGAGAGGAGGTTAAATTTGGAAATCAGGTTGTCCTTACATTTGGTCGACATAGTAGCAGCTGAAGAGGCAGTCATATTGTCTACATGTTCCCAATCCGATGTGGACATTGTTGCCGTCAATGGTAAGTGTGATTTGTAGAGTGTCTTGTCTAACTGATCTAGTTCGGTGCGTATAAGTCTGATTTTCTCTTGGATAAGAGCTTAAGCTAGTTCTGGAAAGAATTAGTTTCGCATTGGAAGAAGTTACAGCAGCAGAGGTCAGTGTAAATGCAATTGGTATTGCCCCAGATCTCCAAAATCTTGAACAAATACAAGATCCAGGTCCGATTCAACACATTACATAAAATCCGTGATCTGGTTTAATCTCTTAAAGATGTGATTCCGGACATACAGTACCCTGGCGTCTACAAACTAAGTTGCCTCTGTGGTAGTAGTTACATTGGAGAAACCAAACGACATGTCTCGGACCGCATCTGTGAACAATAAGCAGACCTAAAACACGGTAGGACCAACACCTCGGCCGTGGCAGATCACTGTTATAATTCAGTAGGCTCACATGACATTGACTTCTCCAAGGCAGAGGTTATCTGCAAGCCATCTGGCTACCATGAGAGATTCGTTCATGAGGCTATCCACATATACAAACACAGAGACAATTTCAACCGAGAAGATGGATTCTGGCTTAGCATTCATTGGAAGGATTTGATAAACCATTCCGGGTCTTAATTGATTGTTTACGCTTACGGTGGCTTTCAGACCGCATCTATTATTTTCGTCTCCCCCCTCTTCTTTTCCGAACATAGATGGACTCGTCCATCTGAATAACTGCCAAATTGCTCTCCGTGGTGCTAACGTTAAAAAAACGGCACTTTTAAAAAATTTTCTTGTGGTTTTCACACCTGATGATGATTGCTTGTGTTGCAGTCGAAACTTCGTGATAATTTCATTGTTTTATATTTTTATTATTTTATTGTTTCCCTTCTACGTGACTTTACCGAAAGAACCAAGAATTTGAATCTCTGCAGTCACGAAAGCTTTAAATCAAAATTTGTACTTTACGTTGTTACTGTCCATGGTTATCTTCTAACCCTCCACAGGAAACTACACGATTGATGTATCCAAGAGAAGTTCGTGGTTGTAAAGGAGAACTTGAATGCAGAGGTTGCGTGGGCATGCCCTGCGGAGCTGAATATCTCAGTGCTCATGCCATGAGTGGCTCTGTTTTACTTGCAGACACGCGAAGCAGCAGGAGCTTGAGGATGGAAAGGGGAACATCGTTAGTGATCCAGAATCGAAGGTGCTTACCTCTCACGTTAATTAAGTTGACCTTTTGTGATACGTATGTCAAATGTTACGATTTGACCGTACATTGGTCAAAATAAATATGTAAACAAATGAACACATTTATCTAAATCTTGAGTGGAATAAGGTTACGTTGGCATGCTCACTCTTCATTTTTTAAATATGAATCTACATTTGTGCTAAAATACTTTGAACCAATGTGCCGTTTCTACTGCTGCCAGCCGTCTGCACTGATGGACCCAGGTGCTAAGCAGACAGGCCGATCGATAGTGTTCATTCGCATGGTTGCGCTGTTTGGAGTACGTCATGCACCGTGACCACAGGAGGGCAGTGCTGTGTCTCTTTTTGCTGGTGATGTCAGTTGTTCCACCTTGCTGCCTGGGAACAAAAGCTGCTGTACTTGAAAGCGCTGACTTCTTGACCCACCTAGCATTGAATTAATAATAGAACAAACGTAGAACACCACCTCCCCCCCCCTCCTCTCTGCACGCACTTGCCATGGTTGTCGCCTGCCCGCGATTTTTGGACTCTGTGTTGTGCCGGTGCTGCTGCTGCTGCTGACTTGAAGCGTGTTCCCCCGATGATGTTTGCGCAGTGCTTCGCGGTCCGCTCGCTGGGCTGGGTGGAGATGTCCGAGGAGGACCTGGTGCCAGGCAAGAGCAGCGTGGCTGTCAACAACTGCATCCGCCAGCTCTCGTATCGCAAGAATGACATCCGCGATACGGCTGGCATCTGGGGCGAGGTCAGCACTGGCGTACCTTGTGTGCGCGCCCGTTGATAATTGAGCTATGCTTCTTGTTCGTGTAATAATGGAGTCGCATAAGTGTATGTGCACGTGTTTGTTGCGGTTAAATGCACGTGCAGTGTTTTGCTTGTAATTGCATGGCTGAGCGATGCGTTGTTTTGTTGACACATTTATGTTTGTGTGCGGTACTCGTGTTCGATTTCATTTGCAGAAAAAAATGCATTCTGACTCTGGTGCACACAATGGCAGCCACAGTGGAATAGCTCGAATTGAAATTGAAATAACCACACGAAATAGCCGATAAAATATATACACATGCATGTGACAGACCTCCATTTCACCTGCAGCAAGCGCTATTTTAAAATTCATTAAAGCAACCGGGTGTACGCGTTGATTTATTGCGCGACAAAATTTCGCACATTTGCAGAGGAAAGAAATGTTTAGGTCTCGTAAAAAATGAATGGGCATATGATGATCGTAAATGTAACGAATGGATGTCCGTGCAATGCACGCGCAAGCTACTCGGCAACGTTGTGCGGCGAACGTGACGTCGTCGCACTCCGCCTCGACCAACTGTGCCTCACTCGGGGCATCTGGGCCAAGGGGTTGGCATTCCTTTCTAGGACCTAAGGGATGCATTAAACTCCATGCCTATTAACTGAATTAAGCCATTAGTCTGTCTCTTGATGCCGAATGCCTGCACAATTTTGCAATCTGGAAGTATAAATTTTAAGTGTGTATAAGGATTTTCTCGTAACACAAGTGTGCTGTTGAAAAGGATTTGTGTGGCGAGCAGCCTGCCTAGTCTTTCGGGACTGCGTTTTGCCTGCGAGTCATTAACGATTGACATTGTGACGATTGCAGAGGAAGGAGAGGCCACTAAAGAGATGGGTGCCATTGGTGTTGGGCAAGTGTGAAAATTAGATGCCAGCTCGCCAAATTTACACTTAAATAACACACTGCAGGGAACGGGCATGTACAAGACACTACTTTGGCAATAAAAAATGTATAAGTATTCTTAACGTATTTGTATTTTAAGCCTGTTTCCGGTCATCCATGTGTTTACTCGCTTGCAGAAAATAATGCTCATTAGGCTGATTATAAATGGGCTGCAAAACGGTTCACGTCATACTAATGGTATAAAATTAGCTTGCTTCGTTTTTACAAATATGGGGGGGTGGGGGTTGCAATGTGGGAAGTAGTAGTAAATTAACATCATCATTGTCGTTTCCAGTGAGAATTTGTGTTTGCATGATGTTGTTTGCAAAATATTTTTTGTTGAGAATTTGAGGCTCCACTTAAAATTGGTGCCATGTGAAGCACAGCCTATTTGATGATGAACCCCCTTACCGCTGCAGCAACACTTAAGGTCAATGTAACAGACGACTGTACGCCAGACTACTTGTATAGCTTTTTCAAATACTGGAAATTGTTCGTGGGAAGCGACGAGTTATTTATCAATCTGCATTTTCTCGACCGAATACAACAAAAAATAATCTTTGAATATTTTACAATTGGCACACTCCATTATTAAACGTGGGCTCAAAATAGCTCTCCTTTCCATGCAAAAGTGTCTTCTATGTGAACAGAATTTCAGGACCTATCCTTGTTTTGACCTAATGTCCCATGATGCATTGGAGGAGCCAGACTAATGCACCTGAACATAAACAAAACAAAATGCATGACCTGCATTTACACCGTGGGCAGTACAGCAAAGGTCGTTGTTTGTTGCTTTTCTTCTACGCTTCCACATCTATGCCCTCCTCCATGTTCAACCAGGAAAACGAGAAAAGCATTGTGAAGTTTTTTGGTCAAATTACAGATAAGACATTCCTAAAGTTTTTCCCCCCCCATAAAAAGTGCAGCGAAGCGAGAGGAATGCGCACTGGCAGGTGGCAAGGTGCATTCCTCGCTTGGGAGCTTCTGTACGTAAATATATATTATTTTGCCTACTTTAATCATTCTAACATGGTTGAAAGGGGGAGTTGCATATAACAGTGATAAGACATACGAGTGTGATTGTTGGACTCTTAAAAACGAGGGAGGAGCAGATGTTGTTCACCAGAGGAGGAATGAGGATGATGAGATGGATCTCGGGGATCACGAGACTGGATTGGGTCACAAACGAGAAAGAGAGCCAGAGTGGTGGTGAGCTCGGACAAGCGGAACGAATGTTGAATCACAAGGCTAGGACGTGTCGTGAGGAGAGAGCAGTAGAGGTGGTGAACATATGAACAGCACCAGAGCGGATACCGAGAAGCAAGCCAGGAAAGAGTTAATCCCAAGCAATGAATCGGCAGCATGTGAATGACTGTGGAGTGGACGTGAAAATAACCCAGGACAGGAATGATTGGAGAGGCAGGACTCGACGCGAGTGGCAATAATATCAGGGAAAAATAATGATTACCTGCGTCTGAGAAATGTCATCCTGACCACTTCCACATGCAGCCTTGTATCCAGGACTTCCTCACATTGCCTCTCGTTCCCTGACCGCCTTCCCCCCCCCCCCCCCAACTGCGATATTTCTCCCACCAACAGGGCAAGGACATGTTCCTAGTGCTGGAGAACGACATGCTCGACCTGGTGGATCCCATGGACCGCTCAGTGCTGCACTCTCAGCCCATCGTCAGCATCCGTGTATGGGGCGTTGGGCGCGACAATGGCCGGTGAGCCCCCCCCCCCCCCTTTCACCCCCCCCCCTACACGCAGACAACTCGTCATTGACTCTGTGCATAGTTGCACACTAAACTCAGAAGCTCCACACTCTTGTAAGTGTCCTACCCTCTTTTGTATATTTTTGTAAGTCCGGTAAATGTTTTATGCATGCAGGTATATACAGTGTACTACTATATTTTCAATGTGCGAGTGTTGATGGGATCTTCTTCGTGACGGTCGGTGTATTTGTCGAGTGTGTGTTTAAAAAACAGAGTTGCGGATAACACGAGTTAATAATATGTGTAATTGACTACTTATTTAAAAGTATCGTTTTTGATCTAAAACGTATATTTTCAGCGATGAGAAGAATACAAGTTGAGTAGCCGAGGTAGAAACATTTTAAAACATTCATTACCTGGCACAAATTGATTTCGGAAAGCATGACAAACACTACATCATTAGACCTCCTTTGCCAGTACCAAAATATCATAATAGAGTCTAATGATGTAGATGCTTACCCCGAGCCCTCATTACTTTGATTGCGCATTGTCTTTGAGCTGTATGCCGTTTGGCGTCCTCTGGTCTAGCACCAATTGAGACGAGGCTCAAAAGAAAGCCGTCTCTGGTATGGACCAATCAGTTTCAAGGACAATGCATATATTATCAGTGTGTTTTTTGTTTGCATTTTGACCACAAGTATTGTGGTAAATGCACACACGATTCCTTGTAAAAGGGTTTCAATTTTGTTGCCATAAAAAAGGGGAAAACCTCTATTATCATGACGAATACTTGTTTAGCTTTTGAGCCTTCGGGTGGGTGTGGGTACGAATTCTCTGCATTCACTCCTTCATCAACGTTTACGCCTTGTAGCTCGGCGCGTTCCTCTGGGCTCGGTGAAGTGAGCTCCCCCTGGTGAGAGGAGCTGTTTGGGTAGTCACCGCTGTGTTGTTCCAGGTGGAGGTGCGCGGCTCTGCTTCAGGAATGCAAAATTGTTCACCTCCGGCTGAGGAGGCCTTCTGGTCGAGTTGAGCGCAGCTCGCAGGCTATTGAGGGAACTGTCTCTCCTTTTTTTTCAGTCGAATAATTAATTTTTCTAAAGGCAGCCAGGCTCTTGCGGTGTAATAAATTCCTCATTCTTTAACCTTCAGCGACACACTGACAGTTATTGCCGTGACGTTTAGTGGTACGTTGGCTTGCCGTTGACCGCAGGTATTGTGCACTGATGTGGATAAGACGGGAACATGCTGATGTGCTGTTTAATTATCCGGCTGAAATTATTTTTTTCCTTGAAATTTGTATTTTTATTTCCCCCCCCCCGCAGGCCCTAAATATAAATCGTTGTGCATTTCAACCAAAGAGGTTTTTTTTTTTATTTTTTGCTAAAATCCCTTGGTGTGACTGCACTGTCCTGAACGCCCACACTTTGTTCGCAGTTTTAAATTAATTACGAGGCCTGTGCTGCTGCTGTCTCTTGCTTGAGTGGGGTATGGCTCATGAACATGGCAGCTCAGACTGTTGCAGAGGCCGAGTGAATCACGCATGGTTGATTCAGATAAGACTGGATGCATATCATTTAAATGCACGGTGGTTGCTCTTTATCGCTATTTTCAATAGTTTTTTACGGATGATAATTTTTTCCTCCAAAAGAAAGTGGTAAAACACGTGAATGAGACGCAAAACAAATTGCAACTGACATCACGTCTGAAATATGGTTTGTGCAGTCAAGAGAGCAGACCCATGCATGCACCTCAAGTGAAAGCTGCAGGGTTTGTACATTAAAGTCCATGTAACATCTCACTCACCCTCTCCCCCCACCCTCTCCACTAACTCTTTCTACTTACCCCCCCCCCCCCATCTCTGTTTGGAGAAGTGGAAATGTCGTGGCCTCTATTTCCGTCACCGTACCCTTGCAAGATGTAATTTGCCAAGGTCACCGCGACATGTCTGTGGATCAGCCCAATGTATTTCGTCTAATTCCTCTGTGTGATTTATAGTGGTCGTGAGAGAGAGCCCTGATGCTGCTCAGTGGCCAATAATGATTTAGGTCCCTGCGAGGGGCGTACGTATCTGCGTATGTTTGTTGAACTTCTTTCGCACCGTATGTCGCCAACCGTGCTTATCGGAGGTGCAGGAGAAGGACACCTGAACTAAAAACAAAAAACAACACTACGTGCACTGTTGTCGTTTTGCATGGATTGCACCGCAATTTACCCAACTGGACAAAGCAAAGAGTCTGCACTTGAAATTTATTTATACAGATTACATTTGTCACCAACTGTCTGAAGGGTTACATACTTTTTAAGAGCGTTTGACTGACTCATGAATCTCTCTTCAGACAAGGTCTTGTGGTTTTCAGAGATCTGTAGCGCAGCGGGTTTTTTTTCATCATTTAATCACACCCGCCTCCAAACATGCCTATATCAGCATTTTGGATTTACAATCTTGCCGACCACCACCAGCAGCAGCAAGCCCCCCCTTTCCCTGATCAGATAGAAAACCTTCGGGCATTCCCGTACACTCTCAGTGTTCCAGCCAGCGAGCGGCGCATCTCTAGCGTCGCGCGTTCGGTGCCCTCTGCGCACACACATGCGGACGGCTGCTGCTCCCTTGAAATTTTAGTGGGAGGAGGAAGACACGACGGGGGGCAGGGGGGTGTAGAGAAAGAGACGGGGTGGGGGTGGGTGTGGCGCGTGCACACGCTGCCTTCTACTACGCCTGCATCGTTCTCTCGCATTTGTGAGTATTCAGACCTCCGCACTCGACCACGAGTACCGTGTCCCAGCCCGTTCGTGGGTGTGCACTTGTTGGCTAAAAAAATCATTTCGGCAGCGAAGGAAACATTGGCAGGGGCGCGGGGAGGCAGCGGAGGGTGCCGGGCACGGCACGGACAACCCGGTGGTGCACACGCCCGCGAGGTGATGCCGCCCACGCCGCATGGCAATTTTCCGTTGCACGCCGTCTTCATCACACCACCCTCTGTTGGAACCTGCAGGCTGCCACACGCCAGGCTGTAATTTTCCACACTATTGGTAAGCACTTTCCATTGTACAAACAAATTTGATTGCGCTAAAGTAATGGTTATATGTAGAGGTTTTTTTTTGGTTTACCGTGTGGGGGGCAGCTTGTTGAATCTGGTTGTGCGATTTTTTTTTTCCCTCCTCCCTTTGAAGGCAACTGTCACCCACCGTGTGTACATCGTTATCGCGGCCGTGCAGCTTGCCTGCGATTAAAATATTCCAAAAGGGACGATGAATCGTGTGACTAGGGGTCCACCTCCTCCACGTCGGTGACAAGCGCCCGGTCGCTTTGCGTGAAGCCCGCCCGGATGCTTCTGTTGACGCTCGATGGCTGGGCGATGAAGGTTGCTGGCAGCGCTTTCCCGCGGATCGTCTCGTTGCATGTGAATGAGGCACTTGGCCCAGTTATGAGTTTGGTGGCTCTCTCCTGTCAGGCGGAGTGATGAATTAGAGGCTGCGCAGCCCCCGAGAAAATCGTCGTGGCCAAAGCTTCCCACCCCCACCCTGTACACCGAGCGGCCGTGTCAGGGACATTTGTTTAGATTTTTTACGGGACATTGAGTCCTCGCAGCTTGTCCTACTTCTTAGGCGATGCCTAATTGCCCTGCTGTTAGTGGAACACCGTTTGAATTGTTGCAGTTAGGGTGAAGGGTTGTGATGTCTGTTTTTTAATGTGATGATGTGCAAGTTTAAAATTTTGTGTGAGCGTGATGCGGCTATGTTACAGTGATTGTCAGGAACGTAATGATGATTCTATCAATCAATTCTTAATTATTCGTGTAAGAATGTATTATTTCTTATTCACATACATTGTATGTAATTGCTTTGTAACCTCTGAGGCTGCTACACACCACGCTATATGTATTTAACAAAAAAATTCCTTGAGTGATTGTGATGCTGATTCGTGGCATGTCATTCAATTGTGAGCAGGAAAAATAGTTTCACTGCTCGTGATCACGTCTATGCACTGCACACTTAGCATGTAAAATATCAGATATGGGTTTGAATGTGATGTATGCCTTCCTTGGCATGTTACGAATATAGCTCGTGTGGCATTAACGGATAAAGAACATTGTGTAAAACACACTTGCAGAGTGGTGATGTTACAGTCAAGCTGACAAAAAACTATAACAAAGACTAGAGTAGAAGCTGACCTTGTGAATCTTTTTGTGTATTTCATTACTCTCTTCTCATAAAATTCCTCATGCCGTGACCCTTGTGGATGCAGTGAGAGGTAACAAAATATATATAAAATAAAAGAGGACCGTAAAGTTAAAGTGGTGTACGAAAATAATGTTTGCACCACATGGAATGGTTCTAACACAGCTGCGTTGCAACACAAGGCAAAATCCCATCCAAGTCCATTGCCATGGCCCATGCCATGCTGCCACATTGCTTGCTGTCTTCCAAACTCACGGCGAGCCAGCGCTCGGCTCGCCGGCACCATCACACGCGCCATTTACCGTCGCCGTTCCTCACCCCTCCTCCATGTGCGCTGCATTTTCAGACCCAATTGATGCCAACTGCCAAACCCGTGATTTCACCTTCACGACTTTGTGCCAAGGATGAAGTTGGCCAGAGATCTCTGCGAAAGTTGGCTTGGTCTAAAAATGCTTTGTTTTTATTACTTATATTTGTATTATATATTTTTATTTATTTTAGTTTAGTAAAAAAAATAATTTTGTAAGCTATCACAGCCACTCAGTAAAGCCAGTGTTTGTGGCAACGTGCACGTGATGCTTGGTAAGTTGCCGTACAAATTCATCATCTCATTCAGTCGCTCCCTTATTTACTTCGGAAGTTTCTTCATAAATTGACGCAAGGTACGCATGAACCTTCGTGTGTGTGTGTGTGTACCTGCATGTAAACGCGACGCATAAAGCATGGACGCCGTGCGTATTTTTCCCCAAAGGGACTTTGCATATGTGGCCCGAGACAAGCTCACGAGGGTGCTCAAGTGTCACGTGTTCCGCTGCGACACTCCCGCCAAGGCTATCGCCACCAGCCTGCACGAGATTTGCTCCAAGGTGAGCGAGCCCAGACAAACCAGCGGTGCCTCGCTCCTAATTCGCACACTGCCCTCTCTCTGCCTCTCACAACGATTGCGCCTCTGCCCTCGCCTTTGCAATAGCGCGAGCAATGCTTTTGAGAATAAATAAATTCGTGAAACAACAAACTTTAATTGCTTGGGCTCAACCAGAATGTAAAAATTCGTGGTAATTGTTTTGCTTTGACATTAGCGTTAAGCATGAATGCACACGTAGAGGCTGTGCTTTTTAAGGGGCTGTTTTGAATTGTTGCTGTTATAGGAGAGACATTGCCATGTATAAAATAATGTGAAGCAATATAGTGGATGGATGCATATGCATGCTAAATGTTGCCCCTCGATGAATTAATTGTGTTCCCAGCTGCCGCTCATTATATTCCGATCATAAAGGCGCATATTTAAACATACTCGGCAGCTCATGCATTGACTAGCAAGGAAGGCCAGTGCATTGTGAAGCCTAATTATAAATACGAATATAACTTAAAGTCCTGTCATTCCATAACTACATGAGGGTTGTGTGGCCACGATTCGCCACGATGGTAGGTGCAGGTTGGGGGAAGGGAGGGCACAGTGCTGGTTCAGATACTGACCGCTGGTGTTAGCTGTGGCTGGGAATCAAACTCACGTCCTCGAATTCACAGCACAGTGCTGAACCAGTGTGCCCTCCTCCCACCGCTCCACCACCAGTAATAATAATGCCGCTTATTTACCCAACAAAGCCTCACTGTCTCAAACTCGCTGTCCATGAGGCTCCTGCATTGGAATATTTGGCCAATTCAATTAACGAGGATTTGGCATACGAGACGAAACTGGATAACTCGTAGGAAAAAAAAATCCACCTATCAGCAGCAAGCCTTGGTTCTCACTCGTCCATACACTCGCACGTGTCAGTCAGTCCATCCGAGGTCGCGCGAGATTGGGCGCATTTGGATTATGTGACCTTACGGGTAGTTGGCGTTGCACTCGTCGCATGTGGAACACACAGGAAATGATTTCCCCCACACCTCCAATTAGCACGGTTTGCTACGTGGTGTGAAATAAGTTTAACATACATACTGTGTGTCAACGGCATTCATTAAGAACCAAAAATACCTCGTTTTTCTCACTTTAACATATTCCACTTACCTTTCATTGGAGTCAAATATGATAATGCTAACTCACTTGGCACAGTATACCTCTTACGGTAAAGAAGAATTAAACTTGTTAAATTACTAAAATGTTGAAAGACCTCTATCTTACGAAGCATTGCTGCACGTAACTATTTTATTTAGTCATTTATATTCCGTGTGAGGTTGCTCTCGGACGGTTTAATTTTGCACTCTCTCTGGGCCACTGTGCCACAGTCAACAGGAAGGTGACCCCTGAACGGCCGAGATCGTCCCTTACACACAAAGGGCTCAGACAGCACGTCGTCTACTTTTAACCGTCACGTCCCTTCCCCTCCTGAGTTACTGAAGGGGGGGCCAATGTGCCTCATTGCCATCTCAGTTTCACTGTACTGGTGGAGGCAGCAGCAAAATTGGGTTGGCCGTGCTGGACAGATGAATTCCTCCCCCCCCCACCCCTTGCTCGTCCTGCGACCCCGTTCCCTGGGAGATGACCTTTTGCCCAAATACGTAGCCTTGAGTCTTAAATCACGCTCTTCTAATCGACCAATAATAAATCAATGTAACTGACTGAAGGGTTCTCTATTTTAGCAACAGTCGACAACCGCCCCTTTTGTTGACCCTCGCCATCTCAATAGCTGCTGCTCGACAGTTGAGCCCCCATCCGCCCTTCCTTCCTTGGCGCGGCGCGGATTCCGTGTTAATTGGGGGCATCTCATCTAAGCGCCGTCAGCCTTGGAGATAATTGCTCGCCCGTGGTTGGGGGAAGGCGTTTTTCTTTTTGTCTCCACCACCACTGACGGAACCCCTCGTGTGCTGCGTTTGTCCTGCAGATCATGGCCGAGAGAAAGAACTCCAAGGCATTGGGCAGCGTGTCCACCTCCTCCCTGGAGAAACACGACAGCACGCCCGATGTGCCGCTTCAAGGTGAGACTCCGTCGCTGGGCAGTTCCGCAAATTAGGCAACCTCGCAGAGAATCCGTCGAATAATAAATGCGTGGAGTCAAGTTGAAGGTGATTGACTACAGTTTATAAATACAGTAGAAAATGTACATAAACACAGCCTTTTAGAGTAGGGCTGCTGTGCTTTTATACGAAGTAGTGTGCTTTTATCAGAACTAACTCTTAGCCGCCACCCCATGAGTCTTGATGTCAGCATTTGTTGAAAATTTCAGAACTGTGCTTATAAAAATGCATATGTCTTGCCCTATGCTGTGCGTGGAATATTTCTAGTTTCGTGGACAGCGTCTAACCAATTACTTATTCTGAGTGCCTCATCGCCATCTCAGCTTAGATAAAATATGAGTTTGACACGGGTGTTTTATTTGCCTTTATTAGAAGCAAGGTGGACCATTTACAGTCCTAATTGGTTGACATACTACACCCAAGGAGGAAAGCCACATATTGAATGCGCTAATGATGGCCCACGCCTTTAAAAAAAACGTACGCCGGAAATTGTGGAGATCCCGCTCCCCCCCCCTGGGAAATACAAACACACCCTCGGACACCTTCTAAGCTCCGCACGTCACACCGTGTTTAGCCCCCCCCCCCCTCCCTCCGGGCTTCGGCAAATGGTCTCGTGGTTAGGCACGCAACGGATTGACACTACCCCACAGCCGCCTCCTCACTCGATTCGATGAATTCATTTGATTTGGAGTCGCAGATTAAACACTGACTTTTGGCGTTTTCTCCCTGTGACATGCACAATTCATCGCATATATGCCGAGTTAATTCAATTATAATTAATCAATTATACATTACTTGCCCGCTATTTATAGTTATCATAAAATAATGTTCGGAACGAGGACAAGCCTCCCTTGTTTTACCGTCGTTCAACCGCATTCAAAGCACATTCATTTCCCTGTGTTTGGCGCTTAAGCACACGCATGCGTGTGTACACTCACGCCTCACTTCAGATGAACCCTTCAAAAAATGTCCCCAAATGCCTGAAAAGAGATTAAATAAAAAATCTATATTTTCAGTTTAACACATAGGCTTTCGTGACCAATATAATCCATAATAGAGGTTTTCTTTGGTTAGATCGCGTAAATATATGAATGTATCAAATCTGGCTGTCGCCTGATGAAGCTAGTTGTACAGTGAGGGAAAAAAAGTATTTGATTCCCTGCTGATTTTGTACGTTTGCCGACTGACAAAGAAATTATCAGTCTATAATTTTAATGGTAGGTTTATTTGAACAGTGAGAGACAGAATAATAACATAAAAAATCTAGAAAAACGCATGTCAAAACTTATAAATTGATTTGCATTTTAATGAGGGAAATAAGTATTTGACCCCTCTCAATCAGAAAGATTTCTGGCTCCCAGTTGTCTTTTATACAGGTAACGAGCTGAGATTAGGAGCACACTCTTAAAGGGAGTGCTCCTAATCTCAGCTTGTTACCTGTATAAAAGACACCTGTCCACAGAAGCAATCAATCAATCAGATTCCAAACTCTCCACCATTGCCAAGACCAAAGAGCTCTCCAAGGATGTCAGGGACAAGATTGTAGACCTACACAAGGCTGGAATGGGCTACACGATCATTGCCAAGCAGCTTGGTGAGAAGGTGACAACAGTTGGTGCGATTATTCGCAAATGGAAGAAACACAAAAGAACTGTCAATCTCCCTCGGCCTGGGGTTCCATGCACGATCTCACCTCGTGGAGTTGCAATGATCATGAGAACGGTGAGGAATCAGCCCAGAACTACACGGGAGGATCTTGTCAGTGATCTCAAGGCAGCTGGGACCATAGTCACCAAGAAAACAATTGGTAACACACTACGCCGTGAAGGACTGAAATAATGCAGCGCCCGCAAGGTCCCCCTGCTCAAGAAAGCACATATACATGCCCGTCTGAAGTTTGCCAATGAACATCTGAATGATTCAGAGGACAACTGGGTGAAAGTGTTGTGGTGAGATGAGACCAACATGGAGCTCTTTGGCATAAACTCAACTCGCCGTGTTTGGAGGAGGAATGCTGCCTATGACCCAAAGAACACCATCCCCACCGTCAAACATGGAGGTGGAAACATGCTTTGGGGGTGTTTTTCTGCTAAGGGGACAGGACAACTTCACCGCATCAAAGGGACGATGGACAGGGCCATGTACCGTCAAATCTTTGGTGAGAACCTCCTTCCCTCAGCCAGGGCATTGAAAATGGGTCGTGGATGGTTATTCCAGCATGACAATGACCCAAAACACATGGCCAAGGCAACAAAGGAGTGGCTCAAGAAGAAGCACATTAAGGTCCTGGAGTGGCCTAGCCAGTCTCCAGACCTTAATCCCATAGAAAATTTGTGGAGGGAGCTTGAAGGTTCGAGTTGCCAAACGTCAGCCTCGAAACCTTAATGACTTGGAGAAGATCTGCAAAGAGGAGTGGGACAAAATCCCTCCTGAGATGTGTGCAAACCTGGTGGCCAACTACAAGAAACGTCTGACCTCTGTGATTGCCGACAAGGGTTTTGCCACCAAGTACTAAGTCATGTTTTGCAGAGGGGTCAAATACTTATTTCCCTCATTAAAATGCAAATAAATTTATAACATTTTTGGCATGCGTTTTTCTGGATTTTTTTGTTGTTTTTCCCTCTCTCACTGTTCAAATAAACCTACCATTAAAATTATAGACTGATCATTTCTTCGTCAGTGGGAAAACGCACAAAATCAGCAGGGGTTCAAACACTGTTTTCTCTCACTGTAATTACTGGCAAAACGTCGTACTCAGATTGTAAATGTTGTGGCTTGGCTCTCCAACACACCAGTGTGCTGTACTAGTAACGAATTGGCACGTTCTGTTTACGTGACACACCTTACTAATTAGCTGTGTCAGGTGGTGGCGGGTTTAATGACACATTTATTATTTACCCATTCTAACCCAAAAAAACTTCTATAATGGATCATTATTTTCAGTGCCACAGTAATGTGCATCCACCACAGCCACCCGAGCTGTGGAATTACCCTGGCATTGCATTTGTTCAGCACAACGTGGGCAACTGAACGTTCAATATTGCCAACGATATGGGGGAATGCTGAAGGAAGGTCGAGACATCTCAGCAGGGCAGCATTCACCTCAGGCAGACCTTCCTCAATGTTTGTGCTGCAGCCACTGTCCACAGGTGATCGGTGGACCCCTGCAGGGGCCTGTTTGGTTTCGGTAAAGTCACGTAGAATGAGAATAAAATAATAAATTGATAAAATAAAATAACACAATAATATTCTCACGACGTTTCGGCCACAACACAAGCGGCCTTCATCAGGTGACTTTACCGAAAGAACCAAAGAAGATGTATCTATGAAATGGTAACGGTTTTTGGATTGCGTATTTCATTTTAATTCCCAGTCTTCTGCTACGGAAGCAATGGCCTTGGGCATAATTGATTGGGTTTGCAAAAGCATCATCAATGAGGTGTGTCCGCAGGCCAGTATTTGGATTGGTCCACTCTTGAGAGAGTGAAGCTGACTGCTTCTGTATGTTTTCCCTGAATGCGTCGTTTCTGCTCATTAGATTTCCCAACCCCAAAGACTGACCTGGTGCAGAAGTTCCAAGTTCAATACGTGGGCAGCCTGCCCGTGGCCAGACCGAATGGTACGTTGTCACCTGACAATATCAAGTCATTGTTGAGCAAACAGCGCTCGTTGTGAGCCACCGTGTATTTATATACAGCACACCAGTGTCCTGTTTCTCATGTGTACATTATCAGGATGATTATAGTTAGCAACCATCTGAAATTAAAATAAATAATTGTATTATTAACTATCAAAGCATGAGAATAATTTCCAGCCCTTTGTAAGTCCACGTCTGGATGAGGGTCTCCCTATGGCAGTGTAAACCATTGCTGCGTTGGACCATATTTCACCTCGCTAGCCAGTGTGGATTGGTGAGGGGGGTTGAGGCTCCTGGACAAGTGCAAATGTCACTCGCCACTGCTGTTAGCCGTGCCTAGGAATTGAAACTCAGGTTGCCGGATTCTCGGTACAATGCACAAACCACCGAGCCGCAGCTCGACCCCGTCGCTAAATGTATCCGCAGTCATTACTCTCATCACACGGCGGTCGCTGCCACACTCCGGCTCCGCGCGTACGAACTCCGTCCGTTCCGGGCACCCAGAAACTAAACATATTTTTGAATTATTTCACGGTGCTGGCGTGGGGGAGGGGGGAGAAGCCCCCCTCCTCGTAGCACATCGCTCCTCATCCCTCAGTGTGTTTAGTTTTAGGGCCGGGTCCCAGTGATTTTGAAGTGCTTCTGCTTAAACAAGTTGGTTTATGGGTTTTTGAACCCATTTAATTCAGAGAGGCGTCGAGACAACCTCTAGGCTAGCAGCGGCGGCATTAAACGCTAAGTGACCAGCGCCAGTGCAGCCATTAAGATGGTTAAACGTTTACTCTGTTTCCAGCTACACCCACCATTACATGTGTACACGCAACCATTATTGTTCCAAGCACCATGGGAGGCCAACATTTCGGGTTCAAGAACACTCAGATAATATTATTGATCGTGTCTTTGAAGCCACACTTTTGAGGCTGGTTGCCTATTTAATAATTTAGTTATTTGTTAGAAATAACGACATTTGAATTTGTAATTATCTGTAATGCACCTAATCATATCAGATCTCAGAAGCTAAGCAAAGTTGAGCCTGTGGATAGTCCTTGAACAAGCAACATCAATGAATTACAGGTTTTATTGCCCGCAGGGATTACAAGATGCACATCAGAAGGCAGTACAGCATAATCCATTATACTGTAATTATTTACTTCCCATCTTCACCAACCCACAATGACCAGAGTGATAAAATGTTATCAAACGATCGGCACGACCCGCACAGCGTGGGAGAGGCCTTCATCCAGCAGCCGTTTTGGCGGAAGGGCGGTACATGTACGTACACTTAAAAGTTAACGGGTGCGTTAATTGGCGCACGCTATGTCCTTGGTTCCAAGCAGGCATAGAGATCCTGCAGGGTGCCATCGAGAGCCTCATGTCCACCACTAACAAGGAAGACTGGACGCCCGCCGTGGTGAACGTCACGTCAGCCACGCTCACTGTGTGCCGGGAGACGGTGAGGAGCGAGAGACCGGTTGGTCACGGCCGCAATGTTCAAACTCGGATCTTGTGCATCAGTCGATGCTATTTTATTTTTGCTTGCACACGTGTGGTGGCTTTGTGGTACACATATTCCACTCAAAGGCACTTGGTTTGCCATCGGTTGAGCTTGGAGAAGAAATGCGTAATTTTAAAGAGTGGTGTAGTATATGGGTACTCCAGCGAATGAAGTATATAAGCAATTTTAACAATTGGATGCAACTTAGAGTATCTCATGCAAAGTTCTTCAGTATTTTTGTGGACAGGGACGTAGAAGATAGCCATTACTGACGGCGTCTTTGGGAAAGCCTATTGCACCTTGAGATATATATATATATTTGGGCATTGAAAATGTGTCTGTGACCTTGACCGCCCTTAAGTGTGGCTGATCTCGTCAAGAGCTCATCGGCCAAGCAGGGGTTGACCGCCGTTTTAAGCTCGCACGTCCGTCCGTGTGTGCGTGCGTGTGGACCGCGTGTGCGGCGCAGGAGGAAGAGGACGTGGTGATCGAGTGCAGGATTCGCTACCTGTCCTTCATGGGCGTGGGCAGCAACGTGCACACGTTCGCCTTCATCATGGCGGCCGGGCCGCAGCGCTTTGAGTGCCACGTGTTCTGGTGCGAGGCCAACGCCGCCACCTTCTCCGAGGCCGTGCAGGCCGCGTGCATGGTGAGCGCCGCCGCCCAACCAGAGCCCGGCAACACTTTCACTTTTGCCCATCCCGTATTTTGCAGAGTGTGGCGTCTGCGTTTCCCGTGCGTGTGTGTCTATGCACGCGTTAATCAGGCAGCGGCTGTCTCTCGGCAACTAGAGCTCGCTTGTCTCGAATTGTATTCTTGTGTGTGTTTAAATTTAAACACTCACTGCGACGTACATTAATTCGATCTTCCCTTTTCCCGTTTGCCTGCCCGTGCAGCTGCGTTACCAGAAGTGTCTGGACGCTCGGCCCACGGGGGCCAAGGCCCACGTACCGCCCCCTCCTCCGTCGGAGTCGGTGGCCCGGCGTGTCGGCTGCAGTGTCAAGAGGGGGGTGCAATCGATCCTGGGCAGCTTCAAATACAAGCGAGCGCCGCCACACGCGGCCCAGACACCTTGACTCTCCTGCCGCCCCCTGCCCTGCCGTGCTCGTTCCGCCCCAACCACCGCCACCCGCGTCGTTCCCTCCCTTTCCTTGATGGCCCGTTCTCCCGATCCCTGCCCTTTCCTGCCGCTTCCAGTCCTATCCAATGCACCCTAAAAAGTGTGGGCTGTTCGGCACGGCGTGACGTCGTAACGGCACCCCGTGTCGGTGAGTGACGTGTACTCCCCATCCAAGTTGTGTCCCCGGCAAGATGCCACTTTTGCGGACTGCGCGATGTCATTTCCACGAGACTGCTGCTGGGCTGGATTTTCTGTTCAAAGAAGGTGGATCACAGACGGCACAGCTCTGACGAACAAACACTGACCTCATGGACGGTACAAACTGGTTTTGAATCATAGCCACACTACGATGGAGCCTTGACTGCACAGGTTGGTTCAGAGGAAGTTTAAATCGCTTTTCACAAAACTAACAAAAAAAAAACCACTACATTCTGGCAGAATGGCTGTTAACGTTTGCCAGTTTTTTTTTGTCCTTCAATTTCCTTACACAAAGCTCATCTTGCTGCCTAATTTTATTCAGAATTTGCTGCTGATATGACTGTAAAGTTCTCTCCACGGAAGCGCCGTAACGCGTCGACGGCTTGTGCAGATGCTGGGGGTTGCCTGTGCGCCAGTGCCGAGAGGGGAGTGGCGTGCCGTTGAGCGGCGTGCGAGAACGGGGCGAGCTTCCGCTGGCGCAGCCCTTTCCCGTTGCGGCGTGGATCCGCTTTTTGTGTTCAGTTCGTTGTCCTTCCCCACCCCCCCCACCCCCGTACTTCCCATTTAGCACGGTTGGATGCGGAACGGTGCGAAAGAAGTTCACCGTACGCACGAGAGGAGGGGCCGCCCCGCACGTCGAATCGCGTCGCATTCGTAACGTCGTCAACACTACGTGTCGCAACTGCACTTTTCTGTGTGTCGAGTAATGCACAGTGTGTGTGATGTTAGGATGTAGGACACTGCAGAGCACTTGACTCCATTGCTCTGCACAGTCGCTCGTGGGTTTTGTGAACGTTTAATGAGTATCATTTCAATTATGCTTTTATATAAAAAAAAGAGTGAAAGGATTTTAGCGAGGGTTGGGAGGGTGTCTGGTTCTGTACTTTTACGTTGCTAAAACTGACGCGCAAGTAAAACAAATGCAAGGGGTTTGTAGAGTCTCTTAAGTGGAGAACAGACATCTTCCAACACACTGGTCAGAAAAAAAAAACACCTGTCTGGATGAAAGCTGGCCAGCACAAACATGTGACCATTTTCTTGACTCGGATGAACATTTTAAAGTAATTTTTCAGTGTTTAAAATTTAACAGTTGATGCCGATGCCCTGTCAGGACGTAATTCCGTTGACAGAGCGTGTAGTTGCAGTTGGGTTGCATGACAACCTCGCCGTCTTTGTTCACTCGGACGTACCTCGGGCTGCTGCAGTAATGTTCGGAGGGTGGGCCTGCTGGCCTCTGCAGTAACCACCCCCCCCCCCCCCGGTGCTTTTACCGCAAAATAACAACGGCTGGTTCGTGCGTCGTGCGCTCGGTAACCTCGCAGCGAGAGGTTATCGTGCGGATCGAAGGACCACTTGGTGTACAGTTCAATAATTTACTTTAATTACAGTTAGTATCAATTTTATTTTTTTTGTCTCGTTTTACCCAGCAGTATATTGATGCCGAATTATATTATTTGAAGCCTGTTATATCAAACTTAGGACAATTCCGTTTTGTCACGATTTTCCCTGCAGTATTTGATTTGTCGAAGCACACTATATCTCGGCGCGATGACACCACACGCCGCATGCGCACTCGTGGGCGGCCTCGTTGGGTGTGTTGTTGACAGTGCTCATTTGCTGCATGGTATAGCCGCCTTTGTTTTTGGCAAGTGTGTTGAGCACACGCATGGCTGCTCATATCCATGCCTTTGTGAGTTGACGGTGGCTTCTGGTGACGTGTGTGTGTGTGTGTGCGCGCGTGCGCGCGTGGGCCGCTAGCGCATTATCTACTTCCCCGCAAACAACCGCTGTTTGTGCAAAGCAAGTGGGGACTTGCAGCTTCACAGCTCGGGCCTAATTGGCCGAAACCTCAAGGATGAAGCAATTTTTACTGCGGTTAGAAGTTAATGTTTGTCAGGCGGAGGCGAAGTCGCAAAGAAAATGTTTTTTTTTTCTGCTGCTGCTTGCTCAAAACCGCTAAGTACTGTGCGCCTGCCAAAATGCGGCAGCATTTGTGGCGGTTAGAAGGGAAAAAAAGGTGGTTGTTCAATTCACTCATCTTGTCGCTGTTGTCCAATTCGCCATTTGACTGCGGTAATTTTTTCTTGAGATGAGCCACGAATGGATTATTTTGTTTGTTGTGTTTCCCCCCCCCTGTAAATAATGTGTACGTAAAAAAAGTAGACCAGTTTGGTGCTGTTACATTGTCTTGGTCCATATGATAGTGGGCTCTTGCCTTCATGCTAATTGTAAAGATTACTCAGAATGCTCACATGACATTAAAAAAATAAATCTGTAGTTAATATATTGTCAAAGCGACAGGCTTAATATTTAGTCGGTGAGCTTGTGAATACTTAGTGATTTATTCATACGCGCGCAGGCGTACACAAATGCGAGCACGCGCACACACGCATCAGCAAAGCAGCCATCTGTGTAAAAGCCTGACGTTAATTACGTGAGTGGTGTTAATGTACTTTCGACACATCGCACGTTACGGCAGTGGAGACCCCTACGTAATGAGATGCTCACATTCGCTCCAAGTACAATCATTCCGGTCTGCCGTCGGTCGCACGCTGGCAGAGCTCCACAGTCGGATTACCGTGCGAGGTTAGAACCGTTTAGACTCCCGTTCCCATGACCAGCCAGGATTTATGAACGTGGCCTCTCGGCAACCAGGCCTGGCAGCCGTGGCACGGGGCCAGCATGCTGCATGTGCATTGCCAATCCCTGGGCAGGGCAACTGTGTAAATGCGTTTTTTATTTGTGATTTGATTCATGTGTCGTGCCAAACTTTGAAGGATTGGAAAGGACGAACGGGAGTTCCTTAATGTGCAGATTTCTCGTCAGAACGCTGCGCTTTATGAGCTCCTGTTTGTGTTTTTCACTTGAGGAACTTTTCGTTATTTATTTGTTGATTTGCCGTTCTGCCGTCGTGAAAGATCTTGGGGTTGTCGCACTGCTGAGCTCGGCAGTTCATTCAAACTGGTTGGTTGTGGAAAGGTGAATCCGCTTGTTCATTATGAATGTGAAATTTTATTTTTTACATAATTATTTATTATTTTACTATATTTTATATTGAAACTCTGGAAAAAGAGCCAAAAAAATGTTCAATTTAGAAAAGCTTTTGTTGAATTATAAACCATGTGGTAGGACTTGCTTGTGTAAGCTTCCTATGCATTTAGCGCTTTGCGTGTGATAAATCAACAGCTCGCTGTGCCGTATAGTTTGAAATCCGCTGTAATTCCGAATATATAAAGATAAATATATATGTAAACATATTACAGTTCACAGGTATAAATAGCCAGCGTGTATCGCGAGGCATTCCCCTGGGGCAGAGGGAAGGGCTGTTTGTGGAGATGTGTCCTTTGGCCGGCGAGTGCCATGCAAGAGCGGTCATTAAATTTGCTCCAGTGCTGATTTCCAACACATGAGGGGTTCCTTGGGGGGCATGGCAGGTGACCGGACATTGCATCTGATCACCTGTTCTTTAGCCTTCCTCACCCCAACGGGCAAGGCTCTTGTCACACGGAGGAGATTTAAAGCTTTCGTGACTGCTAGGATCCATACTCTTTGGTTCTATTGGGTAAAGTCACGTAGGTGAAAATAAAATAACAAAAAACACGACGTTTCGGCCACAACACAAGCGGCCTTCATCAGGTGAAGGGACGAGACTGTCTGGAGGACAGCGCTGGAGTGGAAGAAGCCACGCTTAGATCACGACCTTTAAGCTGTGTGAGAAGAAAAAGACCACGCGCCTTGACAAAGGAATTAGCATATAATTTAGCATTGAAATGGCTCATTGTATACTTTAACTTAGCTATTTCAATTAGCCATTTCATTGCTAAATTATATGCTAATTCCTTTGTCAAGGCGCGTGGTCTTTTTCTTCTCACACAGCTTAAAGGTCGTGATCTAAGCGTGGCTTCTTCCTCTCCAGCGCTGTCCTCCAGACAGTCTCGTCCCTTCACCTGATGAAGGCCGCTTGTGTTGTGGCCGAAACGTCGTGGTTTTTTGTTATTTTATTTTCACCTACGTGACTTTACCCAATAGAACCAAAGAGTATGAACACGGAGGAGAGTTTTAAAGCCACGGCTTGTGGCATGAGGACGCTGGCCGCGCGATGCCATCAGCATAGCCGGTGACACCTGTGACCCAGCTGTGTCGGTCGACGTGGGGGTGGGGGCTCTGTTGACCTCCCCAGCAACCTCGCTCCAGAACGCTTCTACCGCTGCTTGCAGAGTTGTGGCCATTTGCTTGCTGTGCTCTTATTATTCCGGGACACTCCCCCCCCCCCAACCTTGCCCTCTGTTCAGATCTTGCCATGGGAATGGCTTTTCTGTGTGTGGAGAGGACTTTGAACACTACATCTTTGAGGATCGACAGCCGTGCGCGGGTGTTCTGTGAAAGTGTTTATTTTTGAATTGGAGACGCGGGGCCCCGTGGAAAAACAATGCACGTTCGAGCGTGGTCAATCTCACGGTCGCGACGTGCGTGTTGCTTTCTGTCACGAGCAGGGGGGCCCTTCTTTGTGTAGTCATCGGAGCCGATGCATATTTAAAGAGAGCGACGGAGAATGGGACTGCGACCGAGAGAGAGAGAGAAGCGTTGCCGCGTTTAGCTTCCCCTTCCTGCTCAGGCTGGGCATGGCCTCTGTGTGCACACGCCTCGTTATCTGTACGTGACAGTGTTAAACATGTACGTGTAATCTATCGTATACATGAAATAAAATACTTTTAATCAACGCGGCTGGGGTTTCGCCCCCCCCCCCCCCCCCCCCATTGCTTTTCATAGTCTACCTCGCAACGGGTCGGGTGTGCCTATCAGCATTGATGTATTTGCTGCGGATCTTTGTTTTTTTGTAATTAATCGATGGGCCATGCCCTGGTTTTAGTAGGGCAGCGCATGAATTATAAAGAAAGCCGGCTCAACTTAACGGGCGTGATGAGAAACACGCGTGTCCACCACGACGAACTGCCAAGCCGAATTGATTAAGCTGTCCCCCAGGCGCTTTGGCGAACCGCCACATCCCACCCAGCGTGATAGCGTCCTTGCGTGCGAGACGCGTGTCCTTTTCGGGAACGCTTTTTGTGTGTGTCGGGGTGCCCTGCTTAGTGCACGCCAAACTGCGCCCTCTTCTTTTTAGAGACGGGAAAATGTTCGTCTCGCACAACCTGGGCCACAACTTTTGAGATGTCGCCACTTTTTTGGTCCCATCCTCCACCCATCCCCGCCCCGTCGTCGCATGCGTGACAGCCCCCCCCCCCCCCCCCCACAGACTCCGCATGCGTGACGACGTTATTAGCGAAGCGAAATGATTCCTCATGGTGCTTCAACAGGCGTAGGAGTGTGCGGTCTGTTGCTCGCTATAAAAGTCGACAGAACAAACAGGACCGCACGCTGCGTTTGAATTACAATTTTGTAACCGAGTTGGCGATCATCACCCGAGGTGGTGGCGCCATGAGAATCAAACAATGGCCCCAGTAATTAAAATACGATCATGAGGCCTCCTTTGCCAGTACCAAAATATAATAATAGGGTTTCCCCCCTTTTTTATGGCGACAAAACTGAAACCTTTTGCAAGGAATCATGTTTACATTAACCACAATACTTGCAGTCAATGCAAACAAAAAACAACACTGATAATTTATGCATTGTCCTTGAAACTCATTGGTCCACACCAGAGACTGCTTTCCTTAGAGCCTAGTCTCATACGGTGTTCGACCAGATGACGCCAAAAGGCGTATTATGGTTAATGTAAACATGATTCCTTGCAAAAGGTTCAAGTTATCTCGCCAGAAAAAAGGGGAAAGCCCCTATTAAAATACGATTGTTTCAGAATTGGTGGCAATACACAATACACGTTCTTTTATATTGCCTGATGCCGCCAAAGAACGTGTCAATAATAGCCACTGGTTGAAATAGTGCCCATTTCATTTTAAAATAATCAGCAAGTGCAATTCAGTCAGCCTTCTCATACGTAGATCATTTTTATAACTCAAGTGAACAAACCTCTCGGATAGAGATTTTTAAACCCATTGTGTACTGTCGCAGACTTTTGGGACTTTAACGTTACGCACATAGACGTGAGCGTTACCGTCTTGCTCGTCGCAGAAATGTGAGATGTTAAACATTAAGAGCAGTGGTTCTTCTTAACCTGGGGTGCACGCACCCCCTTGGCGTGCGAGATGCCCCTTCTGGGGGTGCGAGACATGCCCAGATTTTTTTAGAAGGTAAATCAACGAAACAAATTAAGCACGGGCACGTAAGTACAACTACTTTGGTTCATCAAACCTCTACGTATTAACAAAAATACTATTGATTAACAAAGGGGTGCAAGGCTGCAGGAAAGGTGAAGAACCACTGCTTTAGAGCATTCGCCCTGGAGTCGATGAGGCGGCTGGTTTCATTCCTGTGTCACCACTCCATGTGTCATCATTCCTGTGTCACCATTCCATGTGTCACCATTCCATGTGTCAGCATGTCACCATTCCCACCCAGGCGCAGCTCACAACCGCCACGGGCCGGGGCTTCACTTCGCAATGCCGTGCCCATGCCCCTTGCCTCAAACTTGCCCCTTGGTGCCAGCTTCTGTTCTATTGACCGTTGGCCCCATAAGCTCCATCAGCTCCATCCTCGGTGTCATCGCTCAAGTTGGTTACTCTTGAACGCCGATGCATGGACAGTTGGGAGAATAGCTCTGCGATGTAGACGATGCACGTGAGTGACAGGATCCCACCGCGCCACCCATGATTCCCTCAACCAAATTTGATCTTCTCGTCTGAGGTGGCAATCGTCTGTCAGTCGGTCAAACCTCTCTGCCACCAAACTGTCTGTGACCACCAAACCCCCCCCACCCAACCAATCACCACAAGCATTTCAGACCAGGGGCCAATTCTGCTGGCTTGTTCCTCTGCCTTGGGCAGTTTTCCCACGAGCGAACCGAGTGGCGAAAACTGGTGTTCGCGCAGGTTCAAACGCCGGAGAGAATCCAAGGGCGAAACTGGCGGCGGCGCTGTTGCTGTTGGTGGCGATGGGTGGGAGGCCGCGCCCAGAGTGGGCAGGGATTCCCCCGGCGCCGGGGAAAGAGATGCATACGCTGGGCAGCAGCAGCTGCTTGGGCCTCACGGCCTCCCTCACCAACTCCCCTCTGTCCCGACCGCCGTCTCTCCTTGCCGCCTCCTCCTCTGCATCTTGCGCCCCTCCTCTCTCTCGCCTGGGCCACATTGCCCTCAGCATCCCTGGCAGGGGACCCGTCCGCACGGGCGGCCTCGTCGGTGGCTTTGCCGCCGACGAAGCCGCCGCCGCCGCTGCCGGATATTGAGCCGAACTCTGGCCCGGTGTCCCGTTCGCTGTCACCCCGTTGGCTGCTTGCGCGGTGAGAACCCCGCGGCTCGTGGGAAAGCCGTTGGTCAGCAGCGAGCTGCCGAAACTTCTGGCTTTGGCGGCGCCGTTGGAAACCTTGGCGGCTCTCTTCGCCACCGTGTCGCTGCGCTTGGCGGGAGTTTTCGGTCCCCTGGGTCGTCTGGTCTTGGTCTTTTTGATCCGTTCCCCCAGTAAGCCTTTGCTGGATGCCCGAGCGAGGATCTCCTTTGCAGTGAGAGGTTCCAAGGTATCCTGTATAGACACACACACACACAGATCCTCCTCATAGACTTATTGAGTGTTGAGGCTGGTGCTGTTAACGAGCATCTGTTAAGGTCGACAGTTGAGGTGAATGCACGGCCAACGCACATTTTACGACGTTTCAAATGGAATTTTAAATTCAACGGGGTACATTTTACAAGCGGTACGATGTACGGCTCATCCACCGCGGTGCTGGGATTAATGAAATCGGCTCGTGTGCAGAAGCTCGTTGTGGGTCGTTGCGTCTCTGATGAAAGCATCAGAGACGGCGACGGCTTAGGCAGACATTCGTCGAATAGGGGTTTATTTCATTGCCGACTGATGATGACGGTAAGATATGGTTCAAAACCACAATTTGGACTCCCAATGGATATGAGTACCACCTCATGATTAGTTACAACTGGGAGCAGGACTTACGAAACTAAACTTTTTAGTTAACCAGGTAAGGCTCACTGAGCTATAAAGCTCTTTCAGAAACGACCTGGCCACAAATGATAGCTCAACGAAGTCGCTTAACATTTGGAAATCTCTAAGCAGCCAAAAACTCTGAACGCGCGATGTCGATTCTAAATGTGGAGGGAAGAAACCGGAGGACCCAAAGAAAAATCCACACGACCACGGGGAAAACACGCAAACTCCGCATATACAGCAGCAGGCGCCAGGGTTGGGATCGAACTCAAGACCTCCTGCGTACCAGGCGAGGCAGTTAACATCTCCTGGCCCCCGTTAGGGATGGCTTCGGGGCCACTGTTGCTTTTGAGCCGAGTGACCGCCTCACCTCTCTCCTCAGCACGGCCATGAAGCCGCCGCTGAGCGAGTCGGACGGCGCGAAGCTCAGGAACCCGGCGTCTCCCGCAGGGCCCTCCCGCTCCTCCGGGAGCCGCACGGGCGACGGCGCGACCCTGCGTGGTGGGCCAGGGGGTCACGCGCGGAGGCCGTGAGCGGTCGCGCGACGGCGAGAGGGGACGACGACGCTGCGTGACCGCGTGTGGGACTTTATGATGATGCTAAAACGGCTTTGTTTGGTTGCTTCGTTGTCCTCCGCACCTCCGATTAGCGCGGTTGGCTACGTGCGGCGTCAAAGAAGTTCAACGTAACACACACGCTTGGTCATGGTAGGTGCTGGTGGCGGTGGCAGTGAGGGCATAGGTGACGGGAACGTGGTTGGTGATGGCGGTGCCGAGGCGGTAATGGTGGTGGTGGGGCTGGTGGTGGTGCCGGTAGTGGTGGCAACGGTTGGACAGTGGCGGGGCGGCACGAGCGGTCTTGCGGAAAACGCGCCGCACCTGAACGGAGCGACTTTGGTGGCGGCGGCGGCGCCGCCTCCGTTGTGCTGTCGCGACAGCGCGGCGCTCACGACGGCCTCGTTCTCACGTGCGTGCAGCGAGCACGTGCTGTACACCACGGCCTGCACTCGGGGGACTGCGCGCACCGGGAGCACGCACGCGCACGCACGCACGCGCACGCCTTGAGCGCCCGCGCCAAGACGACATCGAGCACCCGAGCGAACGGCCGCGGCAAACGACCGAGCAACTGCCGCACGCGCCGCTGGGAGAACGGGAATTGTCTGTGGGGGCGATGCCTTTCGTCCAGCAGTGGATCGATCACGGCTGCTTTTGGTGCTGATGAGGACGGGCCATTGCGGCGCGGTGGCGAGAGGACGCGTTTCACACGTGGGCTATAGCGACCAACATTAGCCGTAATACATTTTATGGGATTTTTTTGTAATGCGATCTAATCCACATTTTTTTATATATTGATTATGGGCAGAGTACTCGACCTGCCATTGGAGGGCTGTGAGCTGAAATCCGAGCTGGGTGGTTGATTTGACCCATCATCCCCGCTGGGGCGGTAAAACGGGTACCACCTTGAAGGAAATTTATTTTGTTTCTTTGGAGGGACTAGCCCCCGTCATTCCAGTATAGAAAAAATGTTTCCTGTTGTGCAGCAGTCATAAATGAAGATGATGTGGTCGTTGGAGTGGAGAAACATGGGCTTGACTTCGATGATTACTAAAAAAAATGTGTCATGTAACTATGGAGCCCGCAATCCAGCAGTGGAGTAATCGTGGCTGATGACAACAATGAATCTCGGTGTATATAAAAACGAAAGTTTAAATAGTTGAAAAATGTGCTTTTGGGTTCTCAAAGATAAAAAAATATATATTTCTTGAAAAATAAAATTTCCCTGCCACGGTTATAAGTGAAACAACTGTAGTGGAACACAGGCAATCAATTTGGGACCTTTTTTTGCCAGTATCAAAGCATGAAAAATAGGAATAGGTTTTACCCTTTCTGGCAATCAAACGGGAGGTGTTAAGATGTTCAAGCACCAAACAGAAACCATTTGCAAGGAATGAAGTTTACTGCATTCAACACACGTGGTGCTTGTGGTGAGCATGCAAACAAAAAAAAACATGCTCTGATAATATATGCATTGTAGATAATATATGCATTGCATTTGCATACTATATATATGCATTGTATATGCATATATGATTGAAAAAATACATCGTCATCATCAGAGCATGTGTTTTGTTTGCATGCTCACCACAAGTACGTATCGTGAATACAGACATGATTCCTTGCAAGATGTTTCTATTTGGTGTTTGAACATCTAAACGCCTCCTGTTTCATTGCCAGAAAGGGTAAAACGTCTTCTTGTTTTTTTTTCACACAGCCAGTCCATTTGTTTGCTCATCCCCGGGGACTCGACGTGAGTCAATTCCAGTGCCCTCAGTCGTGTTCCGAAAACACGACGCCAACGAATACACAAACCTGCTCCCCTTCCTGCTGCTCTCACGCGAAGCTCTCTGATGAGAGCAGCTCACTCGCTTTCGAGTGGACGGCGGGAAAAAAATATTCAAGCAAAGTCATTCCTGAGCACGGTGGCAGGAGGAAGCCCTGCCAGAGTAGCTGTGATGGGGCGCCCCGTTGGCGAGCCGTTAACTACCTCTCCTTGAGGTCGTGGTTTCGATCCCGACCCTGACGACTTCCTGCTTTATATTTGGAGTTTGCACGTTCTCCCCGTGGTCACGCGTCTAGAGTAGTTGACTGCTGTACACTTCCAAATGCTAAGCCACTTCGTCGAGCTCTCATCTATGGCCAGGTCGTTTCTGAAAGAATAGCTGTGACGCTCAGTGGGCCTTGCCTGGTTAAAATTATAATAGTTGCTCGGCTCTTCTCGTGCGGGGGGTGGACCTGGCTTCGAGAAAGAGCAGCGCGACGTCAGGCACCGTTTGTGCGCAGAGGACAGCCGCTCATTTGCCCGATGCCAAATACGACGCACGGACACCTTGCCAAAAACGACGTGTGACGATTCAGGCCCAATGATGAGTTGCCACGATGTATGGTTTCGATTGATGTGTGGTCCACTGCTGGATGAAGGTTTCGCCAGCGCCGTGCCGGTTGTTTGACTTTCTCGTCGGTCAGTGCGGGTTGGTGGAGGGAAGGGGCCGCCAAAATCCGGTTCGTCACCGTTGTTATCCGTGGCCAGGAATCAAACTCGGGTCGCCGGGTCGATGCACAGCGCACTCAACCACTGCACCATCAATCGCTCCACCCCGTGTACGATCGCACAGGCCACAAACGTCAGTTACGAAAACACGCAATTCGCTCCGCTTATCGTGAGCTTAATCGATATTAACCAACGGAGCGTTGCGCTCCAAATGAGAAACCCTGCGCCTTTGCAGATGGGACGTGGATTCGTGCGTCGAGACTGGAGGTGATTTGTCACGCACATCACCTACTCGGGTAAAACCACACTGCAACATTGCACCGTAATTACTGGCAAACTATAGTTTAGCTTCGTTTTACGTTTATATCCGGGATAGCGTTGCACTACAGTGTAAGAATGGCATGGATTTCAAATGTTCAATTATATTCTTTTTCGGCACGAACCCTTTAACCCCCTCCCCGCCCCCCCCCCCCCCCCCCCCCCGAGGCGGCTGCACCCCCGCCCACGCCGGGCCCCCGCGCCGCTGTTCACTTCCCACGGGAAGTCTCGACACGAACAGCACCGTGGAGCGCCCTCCACGACCGCCCTTTGAAGCGAGTGTTGAGTCAGGCGGCCTGGGCAAACTGTGCCGTGGCTCCGATGGTCTCCACCCCCCCTCGACTTTATATTGCTTTTTTGCACCTGACCGTTCGGAGAAGGTTAAACGTTTAGGGGGAGAAGTATGGAAACGCACAACTGCCGTTGTTTGTTTTTCCCCTCCGAGATCGCGGTCGCCTCTTCGCAGGCACCTGGCGGACGGACGGCGTCCTCGCGAACGTTGCCCATCGGCGCAGACGTGAAGGCGAAAGTGCCTCGAGAATCCACAGAGCCTCGAGCTCATTCACTGCGTGGCATTCCTTCTTAGACATGGGGGGGGGGGGAGGGGCTCCGTTCTGTAGCAGCCACCTCCAGACTTTGCAGAGCACCAGACCGTGGACTGATGCCCAGTCCGCCGTTCTCAATATTTACCCAAGACGTGTTCTTACGAGGGCCCCTACTGCCATTTGACTTTGGAAAATTCCACGACCGAATGAATTGGTTTCACGTGGGAGGAAGCCGGAGTGCTCTGAGACACCCGTAGGAGGGGGTGATGCTCAACACTGCCAGCTCCTAGCCGCACCTCACAGCCCCAACACAACGCCTGGCAAGCCCTGGTGGCGGTCACCCATCCTGGGTACTAACCAGGCTCAAAGCTGCTTAGCTTCCGAGATGTATGTACTGTTTGTATGTTTATATGTATGTATGTTGAAATTATTTCGCACCGTACATAGCCAACCGTGCTTATCGGAGGCGCGGGGAAGGACAACAAATCAAACACAAAAAGCAGTCCTACGTAATTGCTATCAGGGTCACTTGGTCGTTTGGCAGTCTCCAGCAAACATGCAACGTTGGGCCACCGTTGAGCCACCGGTTCCGACAATGTGACAACACTGACTCAACGTTGCACGCTCACTGGGGCGTCCGCACCCCGGTCACCCGCGCCTTAACAGCGCAAGCGGCAGCCGGTGTTCACGAGACGTGCAGCGTGGCCCCCTCCCCCCCGCCCGGGCCGGCGCCCGTGGCCGTGTGCCCGGGCGACGCACATCGCATCGCGTGAGACAGAAGCTCCGTCTGCCGCGTCGACAGCTCCGCGAGGTTCTCCTCCTCTTCCTCCGCGCTCACGGCGTCGCGCAGGATGCTCAGGTCTGGCGACGCAACAGGTCACAGGCAGGGGTCAGCAGCAAAGTTCAGAGGCAAAGGCAGGGAAACTTGTAACATTTCACCCCTAACGCTCCAAACCCCCCCCCCCCCCATCGATTAGATTAATTTTCACAATTCCAGGTCACAATTGAATTCCATAATAATGTTTTTGTTCTTCGCACCGTACGTAGCCAACCGTGCTAATCGGAGGTGCGAGGGAAGGACAACAAACTAAACGTAACAAATTAGTTTTCAATGGAGATGATTTAAAAGTGCATAACTCCCGGTGGCTTCCTAATATCGGAAAGACGAGTGTTCCAGACGGCCGTAGAAGCGCATCTGATAGCGTGACGTTCACGTGACGTTAGCGTGACGGCGTCCGTTTTACCAACGGTAGCAGTCTTGGAGTAGGTCGGCAGGGGCTCCGCGCATGCGCGCGGGGAGGCGAGCGACGCTCACTCACCCGCTCCCTCGCCGAGGACCAGTTCCACGGGGTCGTTGAACCCCGAGGCGGAGCACGGAGGGGTCAGCAGGATGACCCGCACCCTCTGAAGCCGGGAGTCGCCGGGCTGCAGGTCCAGGAAGGCCTCCGGTAGAAACTTGATGTCTGCCGCAGCATCGTGAGCGTGGGCACGTGTGATAGCGGCGTCAGTGTGGGGCTTTATGGGACTGTGCGAGGTCGCGCGCAGTGGCGACGATGCACCGCACGTAGGACGGTCGTTCTAAGTACGGTGCTAAAGAAGTTCAACGAGTGAACGTACATGCACGGGTACGGTAAATGCACTCGAGGTGTGGCGGTTGGCAACCATCCCTCGTGACTCGGTGAAATGCCACGATTCAATGTCGCGTTTTAAGATTATTTTTTGTTTTACATCGCAGTTAACGTAGAGGCCTCTCGTGGCTGGAGGAGTCACTCGTGCCCCTGACGCGGTGCCAAACGCATCAAGTCCCCCCATGCGCGACGTTCGAAGCACCTATTGGGGAGCTTGAGAATTTCTACTGATCGTTATTTCGATGCACATTCCCCCCCCCCCCAATAACACACATACACACACCACAATCGTTCGCATTTACTCTGAACGCTAGTGGCAACAGCCATCCGCCTTCACGATGGCGCCTTGTTCGAGTAGAAAACCAACACAAGCACTCGTTGGGTGCCGGGTTCCACGTGCATGCACGCACCTACGTTGAACTTCTTTTGCACCGAACGTAGCCGACCGTGCCGATTGGAGGTGCGGCGAGGACTCACTGTCGGCCGTCGTTCCCCGCGGCGGTGGCGGCTGCTGACCGGCGCCCCCTCCCAGAGCCGCGCACACCAGCACGCGGCAGCCGGCGGCGGCCCCACCGCCGCCGACGCTGTTGTTGGCGGTGGCGTTGGTGGTGGCCGTGGTGATCGTGGTGGGGACGGCGCCACCGCCGTCGCCCGGAGACTGACGCCGCGCGGCGAGGAGTGAGGCGACGTGCAGGCCCGCGACCCCTGACCCGACCCCCACGACCGCGACGTCGCCCTCCTCCCCGAGAAGCCGTACCGCGGCGTGAGGCCCCACGCAGCGCGACTTGTCCTGCGGCGCGGGATCGAGACGTTTTTAAAAGCGGTGGACGCGGTCGCCTTCACGCTAAATGCGGACTCCACCGCTGGGTGATTATTCCCCGAAGGGTGACGTCGCGCACCCACCTGGAACACGAGCACGGATCGCTGGGCGATGTCGGAGTCGAGCAGCTCGCTCCGCCGCTGGCCCGGGAAGATGAGGAGGTCGGCGAGCTGCTGGTCCCGAGAGAACACTCGGTCCTGCCGATCCCCGAGACTCTCCACTTGGGAGAAGCCCAGGTCGCACAGGGCCCTCTGCACTTCCTCTTCACTGCACGGCAGAGTGGCGCAGGTACACGGTTGGGACACAGGAGCACTGGTCCCAGAGCGTTCTCACTCTCTCTCTCGAGCTGAATGCACGGAGCGTCTGAATGCAGCCGCGCCGCAGGAGGCTACGCACGATATTTGGACGTGCAATGAGCCTCGATGAAGGAAGGGATCGTGCCAGTCATCACGGCTGTGGCTGAGTGTCGCGGGCAACTCCTCTGAATTCTCGCGATAACCCGAACGTACAGCCCTAACCTCAACGTCCACTCGAACGTCACGGCCTTTGCACACCAAACCCCAGGCCTGACACAAATCCCCTGACCGAATGTTAGAGCGGCGTGTCCGTGCGTAGCGGGATCACAAGCAACGTCGATCAATTTTACGAGCGATTCTCAACTCTCCCCGCGTCGCGAGGATATTCTCATCCCCGCGACAAGCCCTGCCTGCTTTGCTTTTTTTTCCGTCATTCTCAGTCGGTGACGAGCGAGCCAGCACGCCGGAGCCTCACCTCGAGCGCGCGCCGTCGACCCAGGCGTAGAGGGGAGCGGCGCCGGCGCGCCTCTCCCGGCGCAGCAGCGGCTCCGGCAGCACCGAGTCGAGGGAGAGGGCTCCGCGGCGGATGCGACCCCGGGCCAGCGACGCGCGCAGTCGCGTCCTGAACCTGCGGCGAGTGGTAGGGCGGCCGTGGGACAGGGCGACCGCCGTGCGTGTACAACGGGTGCCATAGGCTGCTGCTGCTGCTGCTGTGTTGTCAGCAGAGGGCAGGCCAACAACATCCGTTGTTGTGCCCTCCTGTGGTGCGACTCCTTTGCTCTCCGCCTTCACCCACCTGCACTGAAGCGCGTGGTGAAGTCGGCCTTAATGTAGCCTACACAGGCACGTGCCAATGCGGTGGACTGACAAAAGAGCTCTACGTGCACAAAACATAAACACAATCGGCTAACGTATTGGACAATGGCTCGTATTGCATGGCCGTTCAAGGTTTTACTCCGATAAATACTTTCCTGTTATGAGCCAATGTTAGTGAACAAGCCCCTGCTGGACATTTGTGAAAAAGAGCTTCACAGCTGATCGGATTTCTCCAGGAAAAATAAGACAAGGATTCTGATTCTGAGAGTGATTTGAATTTGCCTTTGTGCACTGCTGCCAATGCAGTCCATACAATTTATTCGCGTTCAAGGCGTTGTCGGTTTGCAGTTTACTCACGAGAAGAGCGCGGCATCAACTTCCCGCACGTCATCACCAACTCCGTCGCCACTGCAGCCGTCGCCTTCTTGGCGACTCCGAGCCTCCCCGCTCGCCGCGTGACTCCCTCCACTCTTCGCTTCGCGTCCCTCCTCCTTGTCCCGGGGCTCGAACCCGCGCAGCTGCAGGTCCCAGAACAGGACCACGGCGAGGGGCAGCAGCTCGTCCGGCTGGCGAGGCGACGCACGAACACGTTTCAGGGGTGGCCCTCGGTCACTGCGCCGGGCCGGACTGCCCGACCGCCGGGCCCGGTGAGATCCGTCGCGCCGCGCGCTCCGTTACAGCCGTCGCGCTCCTGCGAGGTTCTGACCGTGGGTGAGCTGGCGGCTCTTCGCTCTCTCTCAGCGCCGTGCGCTTTCACTCGGCGCACTCCGCTCAATAACTGTGCCCACCCCGCGCAAGACTGGCACTCGCCCGTTCTGACGATGGCCTCGCCTACTGCTCATCGTCCACTCCCCTCGCCTTGCCCTCCCGCTCGAGTAGCAACCTCCCTCTCGCGCATATCGCAAGTATCGAAGCGGGACGAAATCCCGACGTTCGCAAGTGCCTCGGGATGCTGGGAGCGGCCTTGTGCCCGATAACCCCGACTGTGCCGGCGAAAGACCAGCAGCTCTGGCAGCCGTCACGCGCGCTGGGTGCTGCGCTCGGGGGCTCTACTCACGATGAGCTGCGCCGAGTAGAAGCCGCTCTCCACCAGGACGCCTTCGATGAGCGTCTGATCTGCAAGAGAAACACAACGCGCGCGACTCTCAATGTCGCGGGCAGGAGGCGGCGGCCAGAGTCAGGTTGCGGTGGCCACACCGCCTGGCGAGTGTGCAGGCGGTGCAACTGCTGTGGTGGCCCACGGGCCAGAGAGAGCCCCAAGGCGTCAGATGACGAAGAAGGGGGGGGGGGAGGATTTGGACAGGGGGCTTCCCCCCCCCACCCCCCCCAATTTTACTCCTTGCACCAAGTCGCGTTCCGACCACACTGCGCCTCTTGACCCGATGCTTAGGCGGGTTAGGGTTGGTCACTATAAAGTATAAAACTCGCACGGATTCGCAAAACTCACAAACCCCCTTGGGCTGCAGCGATGTGGGTTAACGGATGGCAGCACAGCAACTGCGGACCTCTGAGTGTTATGCCTTTCTATGCAATACACTCGTCCAAGGACGGGTGTATTGCAGTAAATCTGAAACTTGCAAGCTAAAAGCACAGACCGCGACGTGATGTATTCATTGCATCAATTCGTGTGCAATTTGTAAGGGCGCGGTTACACAGACTTATTTCATGTAAAGGTTATAATCCCTTGTTCATCATGACGTCCTTTTTTCTTTGATGTCTCAACAACAGCGTGACGGAGATCACGTGACGTGAGGGTTCTGCCTTGGTAGTGAGGGTTGTAAGTTGACGCCGAGGAGGGGGGAGGAGGCGCCTCGCCCCCCCCCCCATGTGGAGTGACGTCACCCGATAATTAATATTAATGGGGGGGGTATCCATTTGGAAGACGCTCACCTCTTCATGATATTTATGTGGGGGGCTGTTCGATGTGGAGTGACGTCACCTGCTCATGATTATTAATGAGGGGGGCTGGTCAACGTGGAGTGACGTCACGTGCGGGACACACAGACATTCTTGGCTCATTATAGTAGTAAATATCCTGCCACATGCAACAAAACTTCTCATTAAATAATGACATTTTACAAACAACCCAATGCACGCCCTCCCCTAACCAAGTGTCAGCTCGGCTGTAGAGCACTCGTTAAAGAAACGAAAAGTTACATTTTTATTATTAGTGGGCAAATTCACAAACTGGACAACCTCGCAGTAGCAAAAATGTCTCAAAGTTCACAGATACATACTCGTGGGGATGTTATTTTTAACGGTAATTATCTATATCTTCAGAAAATATTTCTAATCAATGCGCTGCACTAATTAATGAATTCATGTCTACGTCAGTGGTTTTAGACAAGCACGATGGACATGAACGCAGCGGCCATCATCATCATCCCAGCCCGAGAGATTGAAAACTCAATTCTTGAGAACAACTTTTTGTGTTTTGATTTAAAGCTTTCGTGACTGCAGTAATTCATATTCTTAGTTTTTTCGGTAAAGTCACGTTGAAGAGAAACAACAAAATAACAAAATATATATAAAACAATAAAAAATTCTCACGACGTTTCGACCATAACTCAAACGGTCATCATCAGGTGTGTCGGTTTGCATAAATTTATTTTGAAAACGGCATATTTATTTATATATATAAAAATAACGTTTGCGTCACGCGCAACGATGGCAGTTTGCCAGGACTAGTCCATCTATTAGCAATCATTGGAAAGATTTGATAAATCATTTCAGTTCTTGATTGATTGTTCACGCTTACAGTGCCTTTCAGACAGCATACATAAAAACAAATTTCGTCTCCCCCCTCCTCTTTTCAAAAAATAGATGGACTAGTCCTGGCAAACTGCCATCGTTGCGCGTGACGCAAACGTTATTTTTTTATATATATAAATAAATATGCCGTTTTCAAAATAAATTTATGCAAACCGACACACCTGATGATGACCGTTTGAGTTATGGTCGAAACGTGAGAATTTTTTATTGTTTTATATATATTTTGTTATTTTGTTGTTTCTCTTCAACGTGACTTTACCGAAAAAACTAAGAATATGAATTACTGCAGTCACGAAAGCTTTAAATCAAAATTTAATCGCCTCTACGGGGAGGGTTTTCACATAACTTTAAGATCTTTCAACAAACTCCGGGATAAGAAAGCTCAGCTGATCGAGTCTCTCACCTTCCTGAAGAGATGCCGCGACTCTGGGGTAATACCAATCGCATTTACACTCACCTCTGCTACTGTAACTTCTTCTAATGCGAAACGAATTCTTTTCAAAACTAGCTTAGCTCTTATCTCAGAAAAAATCAGACTTATACGCACAGAACTAGATCAGTTAGACAAGACACTCTACAAATCACACTTATCATTGACGGCAATAATGTCCACATCGGATTGGGAACATGTAGACAATATGACTGCCTCTTCAGCTGCTACTATGTCGACCAAATGTAAGGAAAACCTGATTTCCAAAATTAACCTCCTCTTAAACAAAAGACCGGACCCACACACCAAAAAGTTAGACGTTAATAAAGTCGTAATTAATCGCAGTAACAGTTCTATTTCCGATGGTCTGAAATCCGTTTTAGCTAAAGGTCTAAACTTTGCAGTCACACCTAAACACATACCAGTTAATGATATAATTGCCCAAGTAGACGTTGCTCTCAGGGGCCTGGGTCACATCGCTGCAGACGTAGCAAGATCTGAAATCGCTGCAACCCTCAAAAACGCTAAGATGCCAGCTAGCAACCTCAGCAAAGATGAGCGTTTTGAATTATATAAATTAAAAAAGAGGAATGATATTGTAGTTCTCTCAGCTGACAAAGGCAATGCTACTGTTATCATGGATAAAATAGAATACAACAACAAAATTAAAGAATTACTCGACGATGGTAGTTATACAAAAATAAAAAGAGATCCCACCAACAGCCTCGTCACACAAACCAACAAAATAATTTCTGATTCAACCGCATTAATTGATCAATCTAAACAGTTTTCGTTGAAACCTTCTGCTGCCAGGCCACCAAGATTATACGGCTTACCAAAAATACATAAAGTTGATACACCTCTTCGTCCCATAGTCTCTACTATCAGCTCCCCCACCTACAAACTAGCTCGTTTTTTGTCTGAAATCCTGCGTCCTTTCACTGGAAAGACCACCTCTGCGGTACAAAATTCTACTCACCTGGTATCAACAATCAAGGGTATTTCCCTGTCCCCAGACGACCTGCTTGTCAGTTTTGATGTAGTTTCCTTATTCACCAAGGTTCCTGTACCTGACACCATTGCAATCATTGAAGACTTGGTTCATCAAGGACTAAACACTGAGGTACCCCCCCTGGTGAGACACTGTTTAACCAATACATACTTCACTTGGAATGGAACTTTCTACAAACAAACTGAGGGCACCCCAATGGGCTCCCCCCTTTCTCCAGTTATAGCTAACATTTTCATGGAGAAATTTGAGACTGACGCCATCCAGACTGCCACTCTGCGCCCAACCTTATGGAAGAGGTACGTGGATGACACTTTTGTCATCTGGCCACATGGCCGGCCTGCTCTAGACAAATTCTTCGACCACATCAATTCCATACACCCAGCCATCAGATTTACCATGGAAGTCGAAATAGATGGCAAGATACCTTTTTTGGATGTCCTAATTAAAAAGAGACCTGATGGTTCAATGAGCCACTCTGTCTACAGGAAAGCTACCCATACGGATGCTTATCTGAAACCGGATTCCCACCACCATCCATCACAGAAGAATTCTCTCATCAAGACTCTGTATCATAGAGCCCAATGCATATCCGACCAGGAACACATAAGCAGTGAACTCAAGCACGTACACCAAGCTCTTAGGGCTAATGGTTACTCCGACTATACAATCCGCAAAGCTATCACTCAAACCATGAAGAAGAACCCTCTTGAGGAGCCTTTCAAAACCATCACTTTACCCTACATTGCTGGGATCACAAAAAAGATCTCCAAAATCTTGAATAAACACAAGATCCAGGTCCGTTTCAACACATTACATAAAATCCGTGATCTGGTTCCGTCTGTAAAAGATGTGATTCCGGACATACAATACCCTGGTGTCTACAAACTAAGTTGCCTCTGTGGTAGTAGTTACATTGGAGAAACCAAACGCCATATCTCGGACCGCATTCGTGAACATAAAGCAGACCTTAAACACGGTAGGACCAACACCTCGGCCGTAGCAGATCATTGTTCTAATTCAGTAGGATCACATGCCATTGACTTTTCCAAGACGGAGGTTCTTTGTAAGCCATCTGGCTTCCATGAGAGATTCGTTCATGAGGCTATCCACATATACAAACACAGAGACAATTTCAACCGAGAAGATGGATTCTATCTTAGCAATCATTGGAAAGATTTGATAAATCATTTCAGTTCTTGATTGATTGTTCACGCTTACAGTGCCTTTCAGACAGCATACATAAAAACAAATTTCGTCTCCCCCCTCCTCTTTTCAAAAAATAGATGGACTAGTCCTGGCAAACTGCCATCGTTGCGCGTGACGCAAACGTTATTTTTATATAAATAAATATGCCGTTTTCAAAATAAATTTATGCAAACCGACACACCTGATGATGACCGTTTGAGTTATGGTCGAAACGTCGTGAGAATTTTTTATTGTTTTATATATATTTTGTTATTTTGTTGTTTCTCTTCAACGTGACTTTACCGAAAAAACTAAGAATATAACTTTTTGTGTTTTAGTTTGTTGTCTTTTCCCCATGCCTCCGATTAGTGCGGTTGGCTATGTACGGTGCGAAAGAATTTCAACATAGATACAATGGCGAGATGTTAACTGCCTCGCCTGGTATACAAGGAGGTCGTGGGTTCGATGGCGACCCTGACCCCTGTATATTTGGAGTTTACGTGTCTCTCTCCCAGTGGTTGCACGGATTTTTCTCCGGGTCCTCTGGTTTTTCCCTCCACATTTATCGACATCACTCGTTTAGAGCATTTGACTAACACATTCCCACGTGATGATGATGATGATAAGCCACTTCGTTGAGCGATCATTTGTGATGGCTAGGTCGCTTCCAACAAAAAAGAGCACGTCCCAATGACAGCCCTTGAGAGTGCACGCACT